AATGTTTTACTAGTGCAATGATGGCGGCCGTCTCAAACTAATAAGTAAACATAACTGTTAAAAAAAAGTCAAAATCTTCAATTTATATAGAGTGAAATAATTATAAAGAAAAGTTTACTATAAAATGAAATGAAAAACTTTTCTTTAGATTTAAACATCTAGCAGTTAAATGCTTAAAAAATAAATAAAATTATGAAATAATTATGTTTTTTAAAAGATATCGTGGACAAAATTTAATGTCTATAGTCAAGCATTTTTATTACTGTATAATTATATAAATGCGTGGTAGCATTGGGAAATTTTGTGGAATAAGCAACGAATTAGGAATAATATGGAATGTAGTGGTTCCATGCAAAATGCGAACAAGTGGGCGGGGCGAAAATATGCGATCAACACATGATTGGTTGGGATTTCCGTTTAACAGTATCTTACCCAATGAATGGATAGCCCAACTCATATGCAGATATTTGATTTGTCAAAGTATTTTGTCGCGTTACTATTGCAGTTTAATTGTATGAGTTTGGAACCATGTTTGAGTAGTTACAGAGCTTCTATATCATTACTAATTCGTTGGAAATAAAGACATAATATTTCCAAAAACCAAGGAAAGCCAAATAAAATGATAATATCAAGGTAAGGTGCTAAGTGAAAAAGATGGTTTATGTTTGTGTATGTGATGTTGGTTTTGTGAGATTGCCAAATGTTTTTGCGTGTCCATTGAGTGAGTTGTTATTCTTCGATCTCGTTTGCGTGAACTTGTAGTATGGGATTTCTTTTTAATCGACTCCACGAAGGAGATGGTTCTCAAAGCTGTTGGTATTTCATTAATTATTTCACAATAGGGTATTTGACAGTATTAAAAATAAAGTGCCAATTGTTAGCATCTGTTTTTGGAATGAATGTTGGCAGGGGTTTTTACTATTTTTACAAAAAAAATATATTCATAATTTTACTAAAAACCCACGAAAAAGATAATAGTTTTCTTAACTATTGTCACGTGACCCAAAACGATTGGGATTTGCAGAGCCTAAAATGACGTCACACGCAAGTAAACTTCCGGTTAAAGTGACATTACATTGTATTATTTGACGTTTTAATAACATTCGTGTGACGTCACACACTAGTAAGACGCCAAATTGTCCAGAGAAACGTTTTCGCGGCAACTTGAAAATGGAGTTTTTGATTTGGTTATTTTTACTGAATTACACAACAGAATGATGAATATCCACTTTTTACGGACTCCATAAACATTAGTCAATAACGTGAGATCGTTTTCTAAAACTTGTCAAATATCCTATTAAGCCATATCTTATTACATAAATACCATAGTAATAGAAAATATTCTTGTTTTTATGGAATAAATACCCTAATTGTCTCACTTAATCAAATAGCACTGTTATTTCTATGTAATTAAGATCTAAATTACATAAAGAATTCTCACCACAGCTAAAGAATACATTCGCTTGCACAAGATTTAAATATTCGTATGGAAATTATTTCTGGTACAGAAATTGTTTTCAAGCGATTATCGCCTGTAAGTGCATTACGTAAGTATAGGGCGAGATGCCCTCTTGATAAAATTAAGTGTTATGTTTAAACAAACGCGATTGAGAAATTTGAAAGAACTAGAGATTTTTAGTTTTTATACTATGTAAAGAAATAAACAGAGAAATGTGACTTTGTTTTTAAACGAATATTGAAACAGCTGCGCTGTTCCCGCATACTTAAATGGCTTTAAGTTATGGTTTGCTGATTTTCAACTATATTATTATCGACAAAAAACGTGACATACAAATTATATAAATCTCTTTTACCTATATTTATATTGCGCATATTATTATTATGGTGAGTGATTTTGATACAAATATTATTATTGTAATCCATTTATTTTGCGTAGGTATTACTTTAGTCGTAACCCATTGTTTAGTTTTAAGTATACGTTATTATCGTAGTTAACATATTTATAATATGTTTTTATTTTTTCTGTGTATAACATAAAGCCTGATTCAGACTGCGCGCGCGTAAAGGCTATGCAAAATGTAAATAAAAAAAATTGTATCTTGTTTTCGTCTACACTACAAAGTTAATTTTATACCTGTTTATAAATTTTGTATTTATTTGCTGTTAACATCTGGATAATTAAGTTCGTTTTTATTTTATTTTTTCTAATATGACAATGGTAAATAAATATTTTTTGGATGATGGATTTTATTAAATTGATAAACGGTTTTTATCGCTAATAGAAAAAAAAGTAAAATACATATAATAATAATAGGTACATTAATATTATAATAGTAATAAAATTTAATAATTAAAATTGTACCAAAACGTGACGTCATGCAACATTTCAAATCAATATATCTCTGTAATGTTTTGAATATGTGAATAAAGAAAAAAAAGTTAGTCATATCCCTATTTTCATTTTAACATGTATTCGTACCCGTATAAGTACCGTATACGTGCGCCCAGGTGTGAATCAGCCTTGATATATTATGAAATATGAATTGAAAATGCTTCCATTATGTACAGTTTTTTTTTCTTTGCTGTTGTTAATTACGTTGGCGGTCTCACGCGGACAGACAGGAGATGCGTAGAAATCATTATATATTTAATATAAATATATATAAAACTGAACTACAATAAACATGTGTGGTTTGTATTAAATATTGTGGTTTTATTTTTTGATGTGTAACATCTTTCCTGCAATTTGTGGGTGTGATTCCGTGCAGGGCTTGTTTACCGGTTAATTTTCAAACCTAAATCAGCATCAAGTACATTAGGAGCGTTTTATTTAGGTTAGGCTCTACCTTAACTTTAAAATACCGGTTTTCCTTAAAAGCGAAATCAAATAGGTTTTGAATCAATTTAGCGGTTTTTAAAGGGTTTCATTTCCCTCTTACTGAAGGCACCGCCTTCGACGTTTCAAACGCTAGCAAACGTGTCAATAAGGCGCTTAGCAGACGACGGGGCGGGGCGGGCTTTTTGTCCGCGAAGCAATAAAGACCGCGTCTGCCCGTCGATGTCTGCGGCTGCCCGCGCAGCGTACACAAAGCACACGACGGGCAGAGGCGGTCAGTTCAGGACGTTCGTTCTAGTGAATAGTCCATCACTAATAAGCGCGTGGCGCGGAGTGAGCTGACCGCCCCGCGCCGCCGTCTGCGTTACTGCATATAAACTGGTTTGTATGATCCACGCCGGGCAGCCGCGGACATGCCGCGCCGCCACTGCCCGCCGGGCACCCAAGGCGCGGTCTTTTTGCCCTCTGTGTGCGTTTGTAATATAGGATTCACTTGTGCTATTATTCGCGGCGAAATTGACCGGCCCGCCCCGCTCCGTCGCATCGTCTGCAAGACGCCTAAATGCATCAATCTCTGATCATTAACAAGTTGTGACTTGATTAGTTCAATCAAAACAAAGTTCAAGCGATACCGACGCGTGCACGTGTCGCTCTGGAAAAAACCGATTTATTAAGGATTTAAGTATCGCTTTCATTTCGGACGCGCTCCGAACGAAACCTTTACTAAAAACCGGTATTAACCTTTTCGAAACCGGTTACAAGCCCTGATTCCGTGAAATGGGATGGAAGTGTTTAACAGGAAGTCGCGAAAGCGCGCGCTATTTTTTGATTTAATTTTAAAACATGATTTCAAATGGCTTATTCCTTTTGTGGTAGGTTTTATTTCGTTTTTTACTAATATAAGGTGAGGTATCAAATGTTACACATCATACGCGACTACTGTACGGCTAGCTCGTTTTTTGTCATACCTGCATCCTTAGCATTTTGAATGGTATTGGTTCTCGCGGTATTAGTCGTGATTTAGTAGTGATCCCGCAGTAAAACGTAGCCTATGTGTAGGGCTGCCATCCGTCCGGGTTTCCCCGGATTTGTCCTAGTTTACGGGGCGTCCGGGGAGCGTCCGGGCGGGGTTTCGTTTGTAGTCCGGGTTTAAAAATTTCCTGTTTTGGGTCGCCAATTAATCCGTCAATTTAAATGTCTTTAAAAATAAATAAATCTAATACTGTAACCATAAATGCTGACTTCGAACAAAGATCAGCTTTGTCGCCCATACTGTCCGCAATAACAACATTCGTTGCTATGCGGATTACAGCACTAAAACTTTTTACACTGGCCGGTCAAACATCCCTCGGATGGAAGAAGGGTGTAAAGACAGACTTGTGTCCGATATTGAGATGTTACTGGATCAAGTCTCAAATTGGAGTCAACAAAATTTGTTTGGATTAACCCAGCAAAGACACAAGTGTGTGTGAAAAAGCTTGTGTGCTCAATAGATCTAGTAAGTACCTCAAGCCTAAATATCGGGTGTTACTTTACAAAGCACTGGTGCACTTGGAGCACCCCAATACCTACCAGCTCCTTGCTCTTGACCGGATACAAAAGCGGGCAGTTTGAAATATCAATGCCCCTGAGCTCACTCACGCGTTACAACCCCTTAGCATGTGCAGACGGTACAACACGTAAAAGGACGCAACTCCTTCCACGTGTCGTACCGTCTATACAATCAATGGAGAGTGTTCCGAGGAATTATTCAACCGGATGCCAGTGGCCAAGTTTCTTCACAGCTCCACACACCTCAGAGAGGTTTCCCGCCCATCATCTGGACGCCTGGCGTTCGAGCACCATGTGTTCCTTTCTTTTGTGTACCAGCAAGATCTAGAACGAACTTTCCTCAGTATTTTTTTCTTATAGCTATGATATGCTAATCTTAAAAAGGCGGATGAACCTTTTCGTTCAGAGCCGGCAACGCATGAGTGGCCCTTGGTGCTGCAAGTGTCCATGGGCAGCATTGAACACTTATTATGAGGTAGACCGCTAGCTCTTTTGCCTACATCAACATAAAAAAAGTTGATTTGTGACATTTTTAACTGTTTTTTTATTGGTCTGTCTTGAGTTTAAGTTTGTATGAAACTTTGTCAATTTTAAACCGATCGGGCTGAGACTTTGCATGCAGGTATAAGAAGAATCATAGATGAATGTCATTGTGTATAATACAAGCCTGACAACAAAAACTATAGTCTACACTGAAGCGAAGCCAGGGCGGGCCACTAGTGTCAAATAAAAAGAGGCAATGCAATTTAAAAATATATTTAGGACGGTACACAAATGCCACTTCACAATACACCACGTTACGTCACGACTCACGAGACATTCACACACGTATAATCTTCGTTCCAGGCTCCCATTTATATCCCATGGGGACTTTGGAATTAACAGATTCCATGGAAGTGTAACAAACTATGTTTGTAGACGGGACGTAGGTCAAACTCTCTTCAGATTTCCTCCTCAACTCCTTGTCCCTAATATCTTCAGACTTAAAGTTGATTTTCCCGTCCTCTGTGATCAGATCGCATCTCCGACGGGTGTTTGTGATGCCAGCGCAGCTGTGGAACTTCGAAAACTTGTCGTGGACTCGATGTTCCAAGTCAACGTGGAGGCTTAACTGACGTCTGTCAAATAGAAGTATTTCGTTATCTATACTTATAATAAATCTGTAGAGAGGTCAATTCTGTACATGAAATATATTTTCAAAATAACTATCAGGGGGTGATTAGTGATCGATACTGATGCCAAAAATGCAATCAGTAAATTTTTTGTCTGTCTGTCTGTCTGTGTGTATGTTCCTTATAGAAACAAAAACTACTCGACAGATTTTAACTAAACTTGGTACAATTATTTTTCATACTCCTGGGCAGGTTATAGTATACTTTTCATCACGCTACAATCAATAGCAGCAGAGTAGTGAAGGGAAATGTTGGGAGAAGTTACTCCATTTTTTAAGCTTCCGTCGCGTGTGCAGCCTTAATGGTTAAAGTTACATAGAAATCATGTATGACGGAAATATTCTACATTAAATTGTCTAAAAAATATCCCGCAACAGCATATGTCTATCTTTTGTGGTTGACTCACAATAACACGTGTAATTATATAAATAAAGTCATTCTTTATAGCACAAGCCTGAGAACAAAAACTATAGTTTACACTACTACAGCTCTACACCGAAGGGAAGCGAGGGCGGGCCACTAGTAAATAAATATATGTTGGGCGCTCAATAATCAAATAAACACAAGATAAGCACAGCTTGTACTATGGGTGCGAGATAATACAGACAATAAATACAACTAGTTTTTTACGGGTTAATGCACGAAATTATGCAAACAAAAAGAACTAATAGTATATGTTGGTCTTGCAGTGTGTGCTCGGGGTTGGGATTTTATCTCCTGTATAATGGGTTCCCAAGCTGGTGGTGGTGGTGGTGGTGGACGTAGCCTGTAAAGGCTACGAAACGTCAATAAATAAATAAAGTTTCGTGCATTAACCCGTAAAAAACTAGTTTTATTTAATGAGTGATGTGCGTGAAAACCTAAGAAACAAATAATACAGACAATACTTATAAAAATTCCCCTAGAGAGTGCTCGATTCATTATCTAAGTTTGTGACAAAAATGTATCATCTCTCGCTCATCCGTGCTTCGCAAGACACTAAGCCGTTGATCCCGGTTGCATTTGCAGTCGCTTTTATCATCATCAGCCTATTAATGTCCCTACTGCTGGGGCACAAGCCTTCCCAATGGATGTAATAGGGAGATTGGGCCATGACCCACCACTCAGGCCTAGTGCGGGTTTGCTAACGACTGCAGATGCAGCCGAGACAACGGCTTCACGTGCCTTCCGAAGCACGGAGGAACTCAAGATAGCAGATTGTTGGTCACACATCCAACGACCGACCACTGCGAAAGTTGCTTTACTTCTAGTTGAGGGCTGACGATGGTCGATGAAGATCAGACTGTCGCGACGAGTTCGGGAACGTAGAACTGCGCAGCCGAAAGCGATAACCACCTGCGCCATCGAGCTCCTCAATCAGCTCCTTGCAGTCGCTAGCACACACTTTTTCGCACTGGGCTCGCGTTGTGGCTCACAGCCAGTTCTTCCTATTTCATAGGCAAGGCTAGTCCAGCAGTAGGGGCATTAATAGGCTGAGGATGATGTTGCCATACTCACGAGTAGGGTAGGCAAGGCCTACCGTGAACATAATTAGATACTAGGAAGAAAGTGCAAAGCGCGGAGGGGTACCAAATATGGATGGCCCTAGGCTGTTTGAAAGTATCTATATGTATAAAACTGAAAGGTGACTGACTGACTGACATAGTGATCTATCAACGCACAGCCTAAACTATTGGACGGATCGGGCTGAAATTTGGCATGCAGCTAGATGTTATGATTTAGGCATCCGCTAAGAAAGGATTTTGATCAATTCTACCCCCAAGGGGATAAAATAGGGAATGAAAGTTTGTATGAAACTTTGTCAATTTTAAACCGATCGGGCTGAGACTTTGACTGCAGGTATAAGAAGAATCATAGATGAATGTCATTGTGTATAATACAAGCCTAAGAACAAAAACTATAGTCTACACTTCAGCTCTACACCGAAGCGAAGCGAGGGCGGGCCGCTAGTGAAAAATAAAGTACCAATTGGCATCTGTATATATTATGAATATTAGCAGCGATATTACTATTCGGATAGAACAAATACAATTTATAGAAATGATTTTTTGCTCCATGGTCACGTGAGCGAGAACACCTGGGAGTGGCCAAAACTAAAATGACGACACACGCTAGTAAATTTTCGGCCAGTGACTTTGTATCGTATGACGTTTTAACGGCAGTCGTGTGACGTCACACACTAGTGAGACGCCTTAATATCCAGAGAAACGGATTCGCGGCAACTTGAAAATTTCATTTTTGATTCAGTTTTTTTACTGAATTACACAACAGAATTACACACATCAAAAGTGTCTAGGGATCAAGCATTTTTATGCGGATTTCTTGAGATTGAGATGTGGCTTTGTAATAAATTTATGATTTTATAAATTTATATGGATCCTTTTTGGTGCATTTCATAATTTGAATCAGGAACTGTGAATCAAATTCGAGTAAAAGATGAAAATCAGCTGTCAATATTTTCCCTATAAAAACATACAACGCATTGAAGACATTATTAGTGCTACTGTTTCCCTACTACTGATTAAAACCAACGTTATTATGGAGCGGCGACGTCATTTAAGCAGGGAAGAAATGCTCAGAGCCGTGGGAATGATAGAAGCTGGTTCCCGGCAACGTACTGTGGCTTTAGCTCTGAATACAAGTCAGAGTGTTATCAGTCGACTTTGGACACGATACCGAAGCACTGGTACCGTGGCTGAGCGCCATGGAGGACGGTATCGCTGCACCACACGGAGACAAGACCGATACATTCAAATCTTAACTCGAAGAGCTCCAACAATAACCGCCATGATGTTAGCCGTGAGGCTTCATCACTCTTCAGGGAACTTAATTAGCGACCAAACAGTCAGAAACCGCTTGCATGAAGTGAACCTTCATTCCCGAAGACCGCTACGGGTACCACCTATAGCAATGCACAATCGTAGGATTCGATATCAATGGGCTCTTGAACACAGAAATTGGGCAGAAGAACAATGGCGTTTCGTGTGCTTTTCTGATGAGTCTCGTTTTGGTATGAGACCGGATACAAGACGTATACGACACTGGAGAACCCCTGGACGCCAACAGCGATTAAAATCCTGCCAGGAAGTCCATCCTTATAGTGGTGGAACCATCATGGTATGGGCGGGTATTTGGATCGGCGGAAGAACTGAGTTGATTTGGATCAGAGGCAACCTCAACGCTCAAATTTATGCTGAGACGATTGTATCAGACGTCATCGTTCCTCTACAAGTGCAAATCGGTCCCTTATTTCAGTTAATGCATGATAATGCACGACCGCACACCGCAAGAGTTGTAAGACAGACTCTCGCCGCAGCTAACATCAATGTCCTGCCCTGGCCTGCTCAGTCGCCAGACTTGAACCCGATTGAGCATGCATGGGATATGCTACAGAGAAGAGCTCTGCCGAATATGGAGGGTATCCAGTCGCAAGAAGACCTTTTTTTGTTGTTGCAACGAACATGGGCGGCCATTCCACAGCGTGATTTGGATGAACTCATTTTGAGTATGCCAAACCGATGTTCTTGTGTTGTTAGTGTTCGCGGTAGAAATACGGATTATTAATTGTTTAAGTTACCCAATAAAATTTTAGAGAAAACTGTTATTTCAGTCTTTTTTTCGAACTTTTGTGTCAGTGGTTCAAATGTCAAAAATCCCTTTATTAGGAAAATGGCAAATATCTTTATTAATGCAAAGGTGACTTGGTTTATCGTTACTGTGACAAACGAAAACACTTTATTTGATGAATCCTTAAAGAAAATTTTAATTAATATCAATCAGGAGAAAAGTTATTGCAAAAATATATGTTGATCCCTAGACACTTTTGATGTGTGTATATTAATAATATCCACTTTTAATGGACTCCGAAAACATTAGTTAACAACGTGAGATCGTTTTCTAAAAGTTGTCAAATACGCTATTGTTTCTGTCACCACACTTACCTATAATCAAAACTGTCCCCACACAGCTGGCAAGTCACTGGGTTGTTACTGCTGCAAGAGTGTTTGGAAGCCAACCGCGAATCCACAGGAGTAGCCACCTTCTTCTTTCCATGCAGACTGACACAACTCACAGTTCTCTTATCAGTCTCCGAATTGGTAGACGCATTTTCACTACAATCATCTTTAGGTCTTTGTGAACAGTGGATATTGGATTCAGAGTATCTCTTCTTCTTCATTTCCGTCACAATCTGGTCTGGATTAGCCAGTTTATCGAAGAAGGATACAATTTTCTTTAACTTGTCTTCTGCTACATCGCATTTCGTGAGCTCTGGGTCTGTCTGTGTAATGCTTGCTACTCTTTGCCTGGCAGTGGCTACGTTGGGAAGACTGAGCTTGTTTATGCCTATATGTTCGCTCTCATGCATGTATTTCTCCTGCTCCTTCTCGAATCCTTCGTGGCAGTAGTGGCAGATATGCTTGCGTTCGGTAAAGTGACACAGGTTGAGATGGTCGTTGTAGTTGATGATACCTAGTGATTAGACTTAATGTATAGGAATTGGATCAGTGTCCCCTTAAAAACAGTATTTTAATATGTAGGTCCGAGCAAATGACTCAACCCACTTGATGTGAGGAGCTCGATGGCACAGGTGGTTAGCGCATTCGGCTGCGATCGTTGAAGCTAAGCAACTTTCGCAGTGGTCGGTCATTGGATGGGTGACCAAAAAATCTTCTATCTCGAGTTCCTCCGTGCTTCGTAAGGCACGTTAAGCCGTTGATCCCGGCTGCATCTGCAGTCGTTAGCACCCGCCAATCCGCAATGGGATCGCGAGGTGGGTCATGGCCAAATCTCCTTATTGTATCCATAGAGAAGGCCTGTGCCCGAGCAGTGGGGGCATTCACAGGCTAATGATGATGATGACTTGATTTTATATTGTGTTGGAGTCCAGACATTAAGACACGAACCATCGTGCAACAGTTTACTGTCATACCAGTCATCCTCACCTTGCCTGCCTCCAAGTTGCTTCTTTACTGAACAAATTCTATACCTACTGTATTGCGCATTTATCAGCTCAGTAGCAGTGCCGTGTTGCATTGCTTCAGGGTCAACTTCAGTTTATCCAACCGCTTGCATTTGTCTTTTCCACAAATTAATTGATAAATATTTTTTTTACTTATCATAATTAATAATTTGACGACCTCCTTGGCCGACTGGTTTGTACGCCGGGTTTCATGGTGTCGCCGACTCGAGAGGTCCCGGGTTCGAATCCCGGTGGGGGCAGATGTTTTTGTGATGAATACGAGCATTTGTACTCCATTCATGGATGTTTATTATGTATATGTATTCTATCCGTTACCCTAGTATCCCATAACACAAGCCTTATAGTGCTTAGCTTGGGGCTAGGCTAATTGGTGTGAGTGTTGGAAATATTTATTTATTTATTTATTAATTGGTACCCTTGGGTACTTACAATATAAAAAAACAACACACAACAATTATTACCGTAGCCCCAAAGTAAGCACTGTAAGGCTTGTGTTATGGGATACTAGGGTAACGGATAGAATACATATACTGTACATATATAATTCTATTTATATAGAAATACATATTTAACATCCATTACTGGAGTGCAAATGCTCGTATTAATCACACTAAAATCTGCCCCCGCCAGGATTCGAACCTGGGACCTCTCTAGTCAGCGACACCAGTACAAACCACTCGGCCACGGAGGTGGTCAAACTATACAATGTTGTTTTTCCACCAATTAGTTTCTTTATAACCAAAATATTTTGAACCTCGGAATGTTTATTCATTACTTAAACGAGTATAACAGTCAAATCATCATCCAAAACTCACCGTAGAATATCATCCTACACCCCAATATAGGGCACTGCCTTGGCGTAGTGTCCATCAAGCAGTTCTTCTGCACCGACTGCACATAAGTCAAGATCATCGGACTTTTTACATTGAGAGCGCTCTCAGATTGAATCTTCTTCGGTCTTCTCAACTTTCTGAACCTCAAACCTCTGCGTCTGCGTTTTTCATACGGCAGGATATTGTTGTCACTCGCTGCGTAAACGTGCCCGTGTAGCGGCACCAAATTCTTATAAGACCTTTCTCTTTTAATCCCAAAGATGCGTTGGATGAAGCATTGAAATCTTGTAAGCTTTGGTCTATCAGGTACCATCAAATAAGGGACTGGGTAAGGAGATCTGTCTAAGGTTTGAGCTACCTCGCTACCCTTGTAATCTTGCTCGGTTATATTCGATTTTGAGTTTTCCGTGGTAGCGTAACGGTCTAATTTCGAATGGGCTATTGTGGTGGTTGTCGCTGCATCTAGCTGCGTGGATGTGCAGGAGCATTGGGGTATTTTCAATTCGCGTATCACCGCCGTGGCCACTGTGGATGCTGAGGGTAAATATTGAATGTTTAAACTTTATTGACCAAAATACAACAGAATAGTACAAAAGGCTACATAATATGATTCTCTCCCAGTCAACCTTTGGGATAAAATAAAAAGGCCAACGCGAATAAATGAATGAATATTTTTAAGACTAGGTATGTTTATTAGATCTAAGAACCTTTTTTTTATTTAAACACTAATTAGCCTAGCCCTAAAATAAGCACTTGTATTATGGGATACTAGGGTAACGGATAGAATACATATATTGTACATATTTAAGTATATTTATATAGAAATACATATTGAACATCCATGACTGGAGTACAAATGCTCGTATTCATCACACAAACATCTGCGCCCCCACAGGGATTCGAACCCGGGACCTCTCGAGTCGACGACTCCATGAAACCCGGCGTACAAACCACTCGACCACGGAGGTCGTAATATTTCTTTGCTAATATTAGGTGACATCTGTGCGGTGAATTTAAGAGAGATTTAGTCAATCAACCTCATTCGGCATTCTTGATGGTACCAATCCAGACTAGCACTGGAGTGTCTTTGTCCATAATTTGGAGGCAGGGTTTTTCTAGGGGCAACTGCAATCTGTTGTTTCCTTGTGTTATATGAAATTCACGATTAACCTCATATTTATATAAACATACAATTTTATTTTTGAAGTTATACTTCTTTAGGCGCGTTATGAAAAAATGATGAGAGTGAAAATTTAAGATGCGCGCGCATCACTGTAACACAAAATTCCAACTTCATGCGTTTCTTTTGTGTTTACCGCACATTAAGAAAATCTACCAACAAAATAGAAATAGAATCTCTATTTAGTGGGTGCTAACGACTGCATTGTGAAGGCCTATCAAAAGTATTTATTAATCTGGAACAACGGAACCAAAGCGCGATTCAGGAGAAAACAGCGCCATCTCCTAATCATTGGTGTAGTAGAACCAAAAACCACATCTTTATTTTTTGTAATAAAGTAACAGTTATAGGTATTCATATTTATAATATTTATCCACATGTTTCTAGTTTGTATATTCGGAATACGTGTTTGAGTTTCATACAAGTGCAAATCACATATGTTCTAATAAATTATATTCAGTAGCGATTTTAATTGAATATTTTGATTATTTATTTATTTTTTCAAATTAAAACTGAACTTTATTGACTGTGTCCTTTTCCAGACTTTTTATTAATTTATTGTAATTAATTATTTGCATGCAATTAAAAACTAATTTTAAACGATGCCAAAGAAGGTTAACTTCTCACGCGCCTACATAAGTACACGCACCCATTTTTTTATTTATAGGTATATAATACCTAATTATATTTATGTGTAGACACATGTAATTTTATGTTAATGTTAAGTTGAATTTCCTTTAGCACATAGGTACATATTCAGATAAACTCGATGTTACAAAGTGGATTATCGTAATTAGCCTACAAAATTACAAACAAATTTTTATGTAGATATATATAAATGAAAATTTCATTACATTTCCTACACGAACAAAGAAATTTGGCGACTCATTTCTTTGTCGTACTATTCGTAAGTGGAATTCTTTACCCGCGCACATGTTCCCTCCTTCCTATAATCTGGGGTCCTTTAAGAGAGGCGTGAAGAAGCATTTTTGCAGGCCGGCAAGGTGAGGATGGTTGGTGTAGCAGTTTATAACTGCTGTACCAGCTATCTTCGCGTTTGGACTTTATCACCACTTAACATCAGGTGGGGTAGAGTCATTTGCCTACCTAGTTATATAAAAAAAAATATCGAGCTGTGATTGCCTATAAAATAAATAAATCACGAAGATATTGTTTTAAACTTTCATGGTCACTAACATTATGGCTGTTAACGGGATTGTTACCATGTACCTTGTTTTTTATGAGTCTCCGATGTTTCGGCACTGTTGCGCATATAAGCGCCATGATCACGGAGTAAACTGTTAACAGTTACTCCGTGATCATGGCGCTTATATAAAATCACGAAGATTGCCAAAACAGCGGAAAAAGTCTTAACATAACTTTTGGAACTCCTTCCAAGCTAGTCTGAGTTAGAATAATCATACCTGTCACGTCATACTCACTACCAATAATAATCTATAGATCATGCAATAGGGGTGATGACAGGGTACAGTCAACGAAATTCTATTAAGTCCGTCAGTTAGATGATCAAAAATAATGGACACGTATTTTTCTTTGGGCAATCAACCAAAAAAATGACAAAGTTACAGCGCGTCAAAGTTTGGGAGTGGGGGCTCATGTACCAAAACGTGATGTCATGCAACTCTTCAAATCAATATAACTATCTCTGCAATGTTTATATTATGTGAAAAAATATGAGTCCAATACTTTTTGATCGTCTACCTGATAAACGAAGAAAAAAAATAGTCATCATCCCTATTCTGTCTGCTGCCTTGACCGAGTGTTTTTATTTCTAGAAAAAAAATCTTAATGTTAAAAAGTCACATACGCTTGCCAATATCTTCTACTTCAGTGACATCTCCGCTGGTGAGCTCCGTGGTACCAGCGCAGGCGTCGGTCTTTGTCCGATGCGACCGTTTACGTCGACAGCGGCTGCGGCTGCTTGAGTCATCTACGTCTCTGTATTCCGTCTCTGCAGCGCAAGGCTCCGGTAAGATACCTACGAATCATGTTCCAAGAAAGTCTCTAGACCAGTGTTTCCTAACCCAGTGGCGGACTAACAGGGGGGCGGAAGGGGCGGCCCGCCCCGGGCCTCCGATCTTGGGGGGCCCCAAATACCTCCGCGTTACCCTGATCAAATCCTTAACAAGACTTTAAAGAAACCAGGAAAAGTGAAGGTAAAAAGAACGATACCGGGTGAATCAGCTCATGATGCTGGATAATCAATTCAAGAAGAAATACGTCGGTCAATGTATGAATGCATAGACCGCTTTATACAAGAATTTTCTAATTGGGCAATTAAACAAATCAAAAATATTTTCCAAATTATTGAAACAAAGTTTATGCTAGAAGCTTCAGATGACGCTCTGGCTGTAGCAGTTGACAATCTGATACAAAGTTATGCTAAATTGGACAAGACTGGACGAAATAAACATAAGAATGTACATTTTTTTTGCTGGGGGCCTCATTCGTTTTGCCGCCCCGGGACTCTGACGTGCTTAGTCCGCCACTGTACTAACCTTTCCAATACTGCTACTCCTGTAACCTATTAGGAAAATAGATTTTACCCCGACTTTAAAATGTTATCATCAAAGAAAATATAACTAGAAAAAATTCCACGCGGACCAGGCAGCACACGGGACTCGAACCCGCACCCTTCGCAATCCGGGCGAATGCACTGACCAATTATGCTACCGCGGCCCTCACGGACCGCGTCGAAATTCTTCTAGCCATTCTTAAGCTGCAAGGCAGCGCCATCTCTTCGCATTATAGGTAACCCACAATGTCAAATGAATACTTTTACAAGGTTCGAGTCCCGTCTGCTGTCTGGTCCGCGTGGAATTTTTTCTAGTTATATTTTCTTTAGATTTAAACATCAAGCAGTTACATGCTTTAAAAGTAATAAAAATTAAAATGTTATCATCAGTTCAAGAAATTCCAATATGGCCACTACATCTTCGTCTCTAATAATGTCATCATCAGGAGAAAATCTCGCCCCGCTACCCACTCAGCACCCCGCGGGCTCGCTAGCAAGAAGGAGCGCATGCTCTATTTAGTAGTATTATTATATAGTATTTTCTTATTATTTAGATTTGACCAAATAATTAAGTTCTTTGTTACCCCCGAAGTATGGCTGATTTACCCCCAGGTTCAGAAAATAATTGGAGGGCAAAAGATTTGCAATCTATCAACTTGGCGATAGGGTAAATTTTGACTGACTACAAAATGGACGTCCAACAGTTAAGAAAGGAGGCGGGCAATATTTTTTCTATATAAATAATAAATAAATATTTCCGACACTCACACCAATTAGCCTAGCCCCAAAGTAAGCACTATAAGGCTTGTGTTATGGGATGCTAGGGTAACGGATAGAATACATATACTGTACATATATAAGTATATTTATATAAATACATATTAAACATCCATGACTGGAGTACAAATGCTCGTATTCATCACACAAACATCTGCCCCCACCGGGATTCGAACCCGGGACCTCTCGAGTTGGCGACAGCCATGAAACCCGGCGTACAAACCACTCGGCCACGGAGGTCGTCATATAAACGTTCTTGACTGATTCCTCCTCGATTGTTATCACGAAAGAAATGATTTTCATACATAAAATATAATTTTGCTCATTCTATGCTCCAATGTCTTCCTTTATTCGGTAACTTGTGTTTCAAAGAAACTAGAAGCCCTCAAAATGACAAAAATAAACAAATTGTTTTTCGCCACTAAAAACGTCTAGTGTAGAGATTCAAAAAGCATTTACGAAAAACTACTTATTATTCTATGGGTAAATTTTCTTTTACATATATCTAGTTTTCGAGGAAGAAATCGTCGAGAGCCAAACCTCGTTGCAATTTTTATACGCAATTTTCAGCTTTAGCTACTGTTGTCCCTATCGCACGGTATTTGCCAATGCGTGACAGCAATATTTTTTTCAAATACCTATTTCACAAATATTTCTCAGCTAGTGTCCGCTCTTAAAGATGATGCGTTAAATGAGAAGCTTGAAAGAGTAGATGGTTAGCGCGTTCGGTCTGAGATCATGGAAGTTAATCAAACATTGCTCTACGGTCATTTGGATGAATGAATTTACCAAAAGCCTATTATCTCTCGCCCCTGCGTTTTTCGGAAGACATGTCAAGCCGTAGTAGGCTCTGGTTGCATCTGCGTAGTTAGCACGCACCAATCTTCACTGGGCACGGTCCAATCTCCCTATTCCATCCATAGGAAAGGCCTATGCACTTTAAAAGCTGATGATAACAGGCTGACAGCTAGTAGAAAGAAGAAAATGTTACTATAGGGTTGAAAGAAGAAAAAATACTTCATACTAAAGATTATTCACTCTTTACCTATAACACTTGCATCATACACTTGGAATAGCTTCTTCAAGCACTTGTATTTCGCTTTGAGCACGTCATGTTTCTTCTTTGGCACCCATTTCTTCACCTCTTCTTCTTCACTGGTCTCCGGGATGCTTGTCAAAACTGACCCCGATTTGTTGTACATTGATGCTCGCCGTTTCACCGTGTAATAACTAACAATTTTGACCAGCGACAGAAAAAAAACGCTAGCGTAGATTAAGTATTCTTGGGCTACCATTACGAATGTAAATATCGTAATGGTTTCTTCCTGTTGCTACGATAGTTCCCTGTTCGTCCTGTGCATGGTGCAGTGACATTTTCGTGTGGTGTGAAAAGTTTGATGGTTTGTGTGCCTGTCACATTTTTAGGAAATCTTTATAGAGCTATGGCCAGTTAAATTCTTTTATTTTAATGTATTCTAACCTTCTTTCTTTTCAATGGAACTTTGCGTGAAAATTAGAGCGTTTTCCATTTAGAAAAAAAATGGGTGCGTGTACTTATGTAGGCGCGTGAGAAGTTATCCTTCTTTGGCATCGTTTAAAATTAGTTTTTAATTGCATGCAAATAATTAATTACAATAAATTAATAAAAAGTCTGGAAAAGGACACAGTCAATAAAGTTCAGTTTTAATTTGAAAAAATAAATAAATAATCAAAATATTCAATTAAAATCGCTACTGAATATAATTTATTAGAACATATGTGATTTGCACTTGTATGAAACTCAAACACGTATTCCGAATATACAAACTAGAAACATGTGGATAAATATTATAAATATGAATACCTATAACTGTTACTTTATTACAAAAAATAAAGATGTGGTTTTTGGTTTTACTACACCAATGGTCAAGAGATGGCGCTGTAGTCTCCTGAATCGCGCTTTGGTTCCGTTGTTCCAGATTAATAAATACTTTTGATAGGCCTTCACAATGCAGTCGTTAGCACCCACTAAATAGAGATTCTATTTCTATTTTGTTGGTAGATTTTCTTAATGTGCGGTAAACACAAAAGTAACAGCATGAAGTTGGTCGCTAAAGCGACCAACTTCATGCATGCAAAATTTTGTGTTACAGTGATGCGCGCGCATCTTAAAATTTCACTCTCATCATTTTTTCATAACGCGCCTAAAGAAGTATAACTTCAAAAAGTCGTAACAGTGTTACCAATGAAAAGTATTGAAGTTACCAAGCTTTAGTTGGCATTAGGTTTTTGCTATAGTATCGTCGACACAGTGCAACACAGTGTCGACTTTTTTTTCTAAATGGAAAACGCTCTTAGATACCTGCAATCGACTTATATGAAAAATGCGAAAGTGTTTCCGTCTGTCTGTTACCTCTTCTCGCTTTTAAACCGCTGAACCAATTTAAATGAATTTTGTTATAGATGTAGTTTAATTTCTCTTAATAAACCAAGGAAAGGATTTTTTTATGCCTAAACAGTAGGATACGGCGTTCCTAACTAAATTCCTTAACTAGGTATCTGTTAAATCAGTTTTTTTTAATTGTCTAGTCAAAATTTTATATTCGCAAACGATACGAATTCGATATTAGTTCGTGTTAGGGGTACAGTACCCCTAGCACGAACCATTATCGAATTCGAATAGTTTGCAAACCGAAATGTCAATGTCAAATTTGGTATGGAAACTTGAACAACAGCGGCACAAAGTACGTAACGAGAACTAAAACTCACACATTTGTCAATGACATTTCGGACTCGCAAACTATTCGGTTGAGAATATTTATCGAAAACATGCGTTGATTTAATTAATTATGGTACTAATAACTTTCATTTCAATAAAGATACAATTAACATGATTTGACCCGCCATATAAGTAGTCTGGTAGTAAATATTCGCACGATAAGAAATGAGTTTATTTACCAATTCATTAACAATACCAATTGAGCAGCTCGACGGCGCAAGTGGTTAGCGCGGTCGGCTGCGATCGTTGAAGATAAGCAACTCTCGCAGTGGTCGGTCATTGGATGGGTGACCAAAAATTTACAATCTCGAGTTCCTCCGTGCTTCGGAAGGCACGTTAAGCCCTTGGTCCCGGCTGCATCTGCTGTCGTTAGCACCCACCAATCCGCACTGGGCCCGCGTGGTGGGTCATGGCTTGGGTTGCCAGGTCCGATTTGTTTTAAATCGGTACAAGAGGTCAAAAAAATCGGGATTTAGGGTTGCAGATTGGAACAGTTAACTAAAAAAAAACAAGGGGTTTTTAAGTCCGGGGTTAATTTATTGCGTTTGAAACTACTAGTGCAAGTATAGTAGATGTTATATTAATTACTTAAATTTCATTTTGAGATTAATTGGGACATTTATCGTCCCGATCAGGTACAAATCGGGACGCGTCCCCAGACCCCTGAAAATCGGGACACCTGGCGACACTAGTCATGGCCCAATCCAATCTCCCTATTCCATCCATAAGGAAGGCCTGTGCCCCAGCAGTGGGGACATTGATAGGCTGGTGATGTGTTACCAATCCATGGTCTTGGACAGAGTTCTCCAAACTTTTTCGCTGACGTAGACCCCTTGCAGGTTGTCATAGACCCCTAGGGGTCGGTATAGACCACTTTGGGAATCACTGGTCTAGGATATCGTGACCATCAGCCGGGACATAATGTGGGATTGCTATTATTTTTACACGATATAAATCACCCCTATCTTAGTGTCGCCGCACACGTGCCACACGCCACAGCCACAAACGCCGCCACGAGAAGCTTGAATCGGCTACTAAAGTGGCTGAAGCGCGCGACAGCGGCCGACTAAGGTAAGGGAGAGAGGGGTGGGGAATCGCGCGAGTGACGTGTGGCGGCGTTTTGTATCGGCGCATTAAGTGGCCGGTGCGGGCCACAAGAAGCGAGCAACGACCATTTGTAGCGTGTGGCGGCCACCGGCGTACCGTGTGTGGCGAGTCCATATAAAATGTATGAAAACTACAAGAAATATGCCGGTGGCGGCGTTTTGTGATTGTGGTCGGTGCCCGTGTGCGGCGACATTTAAAACCTTCAAGACTTTTCCAATCAAAAAATTAAACAAGTCAAATTTAAAAAATTAATGTTTTATTATATTTACAAAACACATATGTGTAGTCACATTTTTACTTAATAACTCACAAATAATCGTAATACAAAAATAATAATTTACCTATCAACAAAAAAATATACCTATATATCTATACATTTTTCCATAAGTACAATAACTTAGGGCCCGTCCATATATTACGTCATTCTAAATTAGGGGAGGGGGGGTGGGTCTGCGGATGACGGTAAATGATAGCTAGGGGGGGGGGGGGGGGTTCGAAATTGACGTCATTCTTATTTATTTATTTATAGTTTATTGTTCATGTACAAAAAGATTATTTCTAAAAAGAAATTTCTTCCAGCACACCTAGTAAGTGAGACTGCAAATGTGAGAGGCGGCTAAGGCACGTACAATACTAAAATAACTCATAATAAACATACATAATGCAACATAGATGTACACAAATACAGTAATAACTACAGATAAAATACTCTAACAATAATATTACATATACTAGCTTTTCTCAAATCTGCAATGTTTTAATTTTGTCAAACTGGTAATGACGTCAATTTTGGGAGAAGGGGGGGGGGGTCATTAAGAAATGATGATAGGATGATTGTAGGGGGGGGGGGGTCTAAAATCTGAAAAGATCGATGACGTAATTTATGGACGGCCCCTTACGATAAATCACATACTACCCAGCCCCTACCTTACCCGAAACGGGATATGATAACCCGTTTCGGTGGTCATGCTAGAGGGGCAGGTATGGGTAATACCATGGCGCATCAAAATAAAAGAGTTTTTGGCGGGATTTCATCGAGTGTGGTTGGCGTCTTATTTTAATTATTCTTAAATTCGTTCATAGTGGATATTGTGAAATAAAATTGGTGTGATTTTGTGTTACAACTGTCTGCGTAACTGAAGAATTAGTAGAATCGTCAAAATATACGCTATTCCGGTCAAGTGGACGTGGGAATTTTATTGTAGTATTAACTACCTCACAGAAGCTTATCGAAAAAGCCAGCTCGATACATTTCGCGCCAAACACTTCAAGAAACATTAGAATGCGTCACACCGACATTCTAATGCAAAAAGAAAAATAGAATAATTTAACTTAAGACTAGGCTGTATGGGCATTGTTCCCCTTGCCTTCCCTGAAAAGGGAGAACTTAACGAAAAAAAAATCAAAATAAAATAGATTTAATGTAAGCTTACTTTATGAACCACAAAGACATATCATTAGCTTAGCGGTGGTACCGCAAAAGATATCCTGATAGAGACAAACCTTCTCGATATGTGTTTAAATAATGAAAGAAAGATAGAGAAAGATTTTAATAAGCCATGGTAAGTAAGTAAATTAACAAAAAATTGCAAATAAATGAAAATGAAACTGACAAAAGAGAAAAGAACAGACACTTGAAAATTTATGTGTTCCATTTTCGAATTATTATTATTACAAATTTTTACCAGTCGAATTGTAACTGTGAGTTCAAAAAGAAATGCATTCGTGCTACAGTTTGTAAAATGTAGCCAAGTAAAAAGTTCTAACTGAGTGTTCCCACGACACTCCTGAATTTTTATTTCAAGCAACTTTATTTTTCTATTTCCTATATAAAAACATTAGCGGCCCGTCCCGGCTTCACACGGGTATATTTTCAAGTTTTGTTTCATCATTCAGCTGTCTTATTTAAGTTCCTAAGATATCGGTTAGTATTTCATTTTATCATCAGTCTGTAAGCATAGAATTGCATATAGCCCCTAGGGTTGCCAGATATGCTATAATATATAGTATTCTACTATATTTTGCCTGTGTATACTTTATTATATACGAAACGCATAAAGTATGCTAAAATACTATATTTAAAACTTAAATTCAAAGATCACAAGTTGACCTTAAAATAGCGGAAAGTGTCTTTCGACGTTCCCACAAGAAGTCCACGGGGAGGTTCCAGTAAATCCCCACACATTTACTGAAACATAGGGAAAGGGGGTTTGACTTGACTGCCACTTACTTTGACCACGAGAGTGCTATAGAATTTGTTAACATTTTTAACACTTGACATTGGCTTAATGCACAAGCCGTGCGAAGCCATTTAGAAAAAAAAGGTCGAGTATATTAAATCTATTTGGCCATGAGAATGACCATCCTGATTTCTCTGTTTAGTAAAGAGTTTCTTTCAGGCATAATATGCCTGCCGGAATTCCCAAGGGAACGGGAACTTCGCGGGTAAAACCGCGTTGCGCAGCTAGCAATAACAAATATTAAAAATATCTTGAATGATATAGTAAAAAAAATCTAACATATAAAAACCTAAATTTGTTTTATGGCTTGCGAATGTATGAGCGTTTTATGCTATATTATCACAATATTTTTACTATTCTTAATCAGGTCATTATATTAAAATAATAAAATACTATAGGTATATACAATTTCCGATCTCTTAATTTTAAGAAAGTGGAAAGATAGTATCTTGAAAAATAATTTTACAATAAATAATTAATCTTAAATCTACACAGTAATATCGTTTTATCATCCGAAGGACCCGTCTGGCATTAGCATACCTGAAAATAACACAATGTTAATTATTATGTGAAAGATATCTATTATTATAACAGGAATTTTCAATGTCACTTAACGATATTTAATACCCTAGATACACCAACACGAACAAAATCGTGCCCGATACCTGTCCAAAAGGTACATTGAACGATCCACGGAGCTCCGTAAGATGATCGCGTAGTCAACATTAATATAAGGCATTATTTAAATATTGAAAGTCACCTTTAATACATGCTGTATAAGGTCTTAAATAAAACGCATGCGTCAAGGACTTCTGACAGTTCGAAATGCAAGCTCGTAAAATTTTACGACTTATTACTATATGCGGAAGAATTAAGACCTTAGTTATTTGACTCTACTCGCTGTTAGCAATATAGCTGGTACGGACCGCGAGAAAAAGAGACGGCTATATGGCGACGTAAAACCGACCATGCATTTGAATATCACAAATATTTTATATTAAATCAGTTTATAGTAAGTATTACATCAAAATTTACTTCAAATGCGTTAAATTAACAAACATTGACTAGATACGTGTCGAAGAAACGACACTTTTCGTACTTTAAGTATTATTTTCGCCTTTTTTCGCGGAGCTCTGTGGCATCTTGACTTTGTAACGGTCCATGCGTGACTGTGAACCAAGAAGTGCTTGGGTGGAGTTCAAGTACTTCTTGATTGGGACACATTTTAAGCGCTGGTGGTGTATCGAGGGTATTTAATATCGTTGGTCCCAATCAAGAAGTGCTTCAACTCCTCCCAAGCACTTCTTGGTTCACAGTCTAGCGAGTACCGTTGAAAAGTCAACATGCCGCAGTACTCCGTGGATGAGAAAAAAATACTTATTGTACGTAAAGTGACGTTTTTTCGAAATGTATCTATACAAGGTTTGTTAATTTAACGCATTTGAAGCAAATTTTGTTGTAATACTTACTATAAACTGATTTAATATAAAATAGCTGTGATATCCAAATGCATGGTCGGTTATATAGTCGTCTCTTTTCCTCGCGGTCCGTACCTGCTATATTGCGAACAGCGCATTCAGAATTGCTCATAGGGTCAAAGAAATAAGGTCTATATTCTTCCGCGTACAGCAATAAGTCGTAAAATTTTACGCTTGCATTTCGAACTGTCATAACTCTTTGACACATGCGTTTTAATTAAGACCTGACAGAGTACTCATTAAAGCTGATTTTTAATGTTTAAATAAAGCCTTTTATATTGGTGAAGCTCCGTGGATCGTCCAATGTACCTTTTGGACAAATTTCGGCCACGATTTTGTTCGTGTTGTTCTATCTAGAGTATTTAATATCGTTGATGTCACTACTAAAATACGTGCAAGCAGACCCGTCTTTCCCAGTGGGCACTTTGGACAAGTGCCCAGGGCCCCGCAAACGATAGGGGCCCCCCTCAGATCAAATACAAAGTCCCTAGTTCCTGTTAAATCACCAAACGGAAGACATAGGGGCCCCATTATCCTAATATGCCCAGGGCGTCCATTAGGTCAAAGACGGCACTGCGTGCAAGAATTACATGATATTCAATCGGACACGTTAGATAGATGTACTCTTGAAAGATAACAATGTTTATTGATACAAAAAAAAATTGCACAGACACATCTGAAGTGAAATTTCTTTTCTTAATTAACCTAACATTAAGCGGTGCATAAGACATAAGGGAATGGAGCAGCGCACGCATCACTCATATATATGTATACAGGGTGGTCCAACTAGTGACGTGACAGTGACAACTAGTGACAAGTGAGTTTTTTGAGTAACTTTAAGTAATTGCAGGAAGCCGAGTTACTTTTTTATTAAAAGAACATTCAAGACAATTATGTCACAAAAAGAAAAGACTGCAAAATACCTACTACGAAAAAAGATAAGAATTTTTGAAACCTCGCTGGTAGAAATCATTAAAAATACACAAAAAAAAATATAACTCGAAAACTAAGGAAAATCGCGGAACATACATGGGGTATTTTCGGACAGTCCCAGATGCGAAGAATCTAAAAAAAATTGTTGACGTCACCAGTTGGACCAGCCTGTATATATTTATATATTTTGGACATATTGTCGCGTGTGACGCTGGTGCTCTTCGTAGCGCTACAGCCTTCATCGAGTTACCCTCCAACTTTCATGTTCGTCGGGAAGAGCTTCGCAAGCATCACACACACACATATAGATATACATATATACATAGTCGTGTGACGCATTTCCGCTTCATCTTTTCCATAGGATTATTGCATTAACACCCCGCCCGAATGAAGTTTCACTTCAAGAATCCAAAAACCTGTACCCTTAGTACGAGTTTGAGCTCACGAAAATTATCATAGTTTTCGTAATTGTAAATTATGTTTCTATGTCCATTTTGGTGAAAAATGTCCAAATATACTTAAAATTTAAGAAGACACAAATGATTTAATGATAGAATTTCAACACTGCTTATTTGTATTGAAACGAAAACAATAAAATCAACGAATATGAGCTCACGAAAACTATCATAGTTTTCGTACTTGTAAAACTCGTACTAAGACTGCAGTATCACGTATCAGGTAGAGTGAAGTAATTAAAGTTTATTGTATTTCCTTTAAGAACCATATACAAAATATTAGAAAACTTTAATAAATAGGTAGCTTAGCCCCAAAGTAAGCACTGTAGTGTGGGCTTGTGTTATGGGATACTAGGGTAACGGATAGAATACATATACTGATACGTACGTGTATAAGTATATTTATATAGTAATTACATATTAAACATCCATGACTGGAGTACAAATGCTCGTGTTCATCACACAAAGATCTGCCCCCACCGGTAATCGAACCCGGGACCTCTGGAGTAGGCGACACCATGAAACCCGGCGTACAAAACACTTGGCTACGGAGGCAACGATATTAAATACCCTAGATACACCAACACGAACAAAATCATGGACGAAACCTGTCCATAAGGTACATTGGACGATCCACGGAGCTCCGTAAGATGATCGCGTAGTCTAAACAACATAAGGCATTATTTAAACATTGAAAATCACCTTTAGAGCATACTGAATAAGGTCTTAAATAAAACGCACGCGTCATAGAGTTATGACAGTCCGATATGTAAGCTCGTAACTTACTTACGACTTATTGCTATATGCAGAAGAATAAAGACCTTATTTCTTTGACTGTACGCGCAATTCTGAATGCGCTGTTAGTAATATAGCAGGTACGGTCCGCGAGGAAAAGAGACGGCTATATTACCGACCATGCATTTGAATATCACTAATATTTTCTATTAAATCATTTTATAGTAAGTATTAAAACAAACTTTACTTCAAATGCGTTAAATTAACAAACATTGATTGGGTACCTGTCCAAAAAACGACATTTTACAATCTTTATGTATTTCTTTCGCCTGTTTACATGGAGCTCAGCGGCGGCATGTTGACTTTTCAATTCTCCGCGCGTGACTATGAATCAAGAAGTGCTTGAGTCGTGTTCAAGCACTTCTTGATTAGGACACATTTTGAGCACACGTGGTGTATCTAGGGTATTTAATATCGTTTTACGGAGGTCGTAAAATCTATTAAGTGGTCGTCGTCGTCTAAGAGATAAAGATTCATATTAATCATAGTACTCATACATATAATCTATAATCAAAATCATTTATTCAATTTAGGCTGGTACAAGCTCATATGAATGTCTAGAAGCTACTCCATCGGTTCGTAAATCTACGACGGGAGAACTTGTACTGAGAAGAACCGGCAAGAAACTCAGCAAGGGCTGTTTTTTTCTCCCTGTTTTATCATTTACAGTGTCGTCAAGTTGAAAAATGACTTCAGAGATGATTCATGAAGTCACCTTTCATTACATAGTGTGAAATTATACATCAATTGTTCACCTGCATTTTGATTGCTGTGTCACACAGTATAAATACAAACAGAGTTATTTATAAAAGGTGTACTTAATTAAACATTTACATCTTAAATATCAAAGTAGTTAGGGCAGACTCATCTCCGCTGGCAGCACCCGTTCACGAGCATGACGCACGAACCAGCCATCGCTTCGCTCAACCATATTTTAGGGAAAATATAAATATAAAGAAGATATCCCAATTTCATCTGGTTTCATAATTTTTCTCTTTTTTTAAAGTTTAATTTGACATTTCCATAAAACTCACCAGCTATGCACGCTGTCATGAAACATATCCCGCAGCCGGCGAAGAAAGCACGAACTGCGATCTGAAAATATTAAAAAAATAATAGTCAATTTTAAATCGTTGAATTCTTTTTATTTTCTCCCTTTTCGGGAATGGAAAAATGAATAAATTCAATAATAAATAATAATATTAATTATTATTATTATGAATAATAATTATTATTTAATTATTAATTATTATTAATTCCATGAATAATTTATTCAACAAAATGGCTCAGGCTTGCCACGCGCGGCAACCTCGCGGTGATACTGAGGCCAGTGCTACCAACCCTTACCAAAATTTTACCCTAAGTATTTTTTAAATTCCCCTAAAATCCCCTAAATATAGAAATTTATATGTAGAATTATCTTATTACCTAAATTCTTTCGTTGCTCATAAATTAAAAGGTTACATTATTTAATTACAGTAAATTACTTTATTGAATAATTACATTTTCAGAATGGAAAATCAAACGAAATGAGCTGTTAAATCATAATTAGCTGTTTTGATTGGTAGAAGGCAAAGAACTTAAGTCCATACAGCCTTAGCAAACAACCTGCCACACGGTCAGTTCAGTCGTTTTTCTACGCACAAAACTGAAAGAAAACAAACGCTTTGTTTTTCTATTTAATTGCAAGTTTTGTTAAAAGCCCCTAAAAGAACCCCCAAAAAATTCCAGCCCCTAAAAAAGTCCGTTTTAACCCTTATAGCCCCTAAATCTGGGGGCAAAACCCCTAAGTTGGGAACCGTGACTGAGGCTGCCGCCACGGTAATATTATCTATACAGTATTCTGACTCGGCCCTGTCCTTGAAATAACTGCTTACGGCCGAGCGGGGCGTGGACACGGGGTAGGGCTGCCCGCCCGCCTACAGTATTTTAATTTCATCTACGTAATTGAGTTTCTTTCTAGTTTTGTGATTGTAAATATTTTATTTCATGTATAAAAAAAATGTTGTGAATAAATTAGGAAGTGTAACATAAGATACATGTATGACTGAGACGTACGAAAAGCTTTATTATTAAATTTAATAGTATAATAAATACATACGCATTCGTATAAAAAGTTTAATTTTTGAAGAGTTCAAGCAACCAAAACCAGCATAATATCGACTATTGCTCTTTACAATATTAAATTTTGTAGGTATCTACTTAATTCAATCAAATATTCACAATACAAACGTTTATGAAGGGCTAACTGCTTAAAAACAATTCTCACCGTTCGGTCGTCGCTGCGGCGCATTCGCCCACCGGGTGCCGCGCGAACTCGAGTGGCGTAGGTATGACACGCTTTCCGACCGTTTGTATGAAGATAGAATACTGTATAGATAATATTACCGTGCTGCCGCGCTCATTCGGAGACAGTTTCCTCGCGCGACAAATGCCTCGCGAGGCTGCTCGCTCTGTGTAGACCTTAGATTAAAACAAAAAGGGTAGATACGGCAATAGCCTCACAAAAGTGATCAGCACCAATTGTGGTCCACGACCCTAATCGCTTTAGTCACAACTTGACATGCAAACGGCGTACATGTGAACGCCAAAAAGAAATATTGCTAATATTTTGTGTTTATATGATAAAACAATGCTTTTAAAAACTGCTCAAATTGCTCAAGAACTAAAAATAAAACCCACGGCATCACTTTTCATTCGTAATATATTTTTTCATAAAAATTGCTGTTTGTTTTGAATCTTATTCGGTAGTGACGTCGAGTACTGGTCGCGTGATTGGTCGGTAGTGCAGTGACGCGGATCGCGCCGTCTCGTTCGCGCTGCCGTTGAAACTTAACGTGCTGTTTCGTTCGGGTCGGTAATGCAGTGACGCGGATCTCGCCGTCTCGTTCGCGCTGCCGTTGAAACTTAACGTGCTGTTTCGTTCGAGTCGGTAATGCAGTGACGCGGATCTCGCCGTCCCGTTCGCGCTGCCGTGGGATCAGTTTTTGTTTGATGCAAGTATGAGCGTACCGTATCTACCCTTTTTGTTTTAGGTGTAGACGCCCCTAATGACAAATGGCATTTGAGTGTCATGAACAAAACACGGCGTAACTAGTCTTAGCTTATTCCTTGTTTAATATTAAGGGGGTACAAGTGTAAATGTTGATTTACTCACACTAGAGAGTACCTCCCTTTGGTGAGGTGCTATAGCAGCTATAGCTCCAATCATGATGCCCGCTGACGCTGGATTGGTGAATCCACACAGCGAATACGTAGCTATCAACTCTGAACGGGGCTAAAGAACACAGAAACAACAACTGTATTAAAGATTTTTGAAGTGAAATTTGTATTCGAACGGTGTGTTAATGGAAAAGATGACACGGGAACGCGGTACGAGCGTCACTCGAATATATATAATTATATGTGTGTGAGTGGCATGCGTGCAAGGGCGGATCCAGGGGGGGGTCATGGGGGTCATGACCCCCCCCCTGGGCTGGGTACAGATGGACCAAACCCAATACTTTCAATATTTAATATACCACGACTAAATGATCATCCCCTGGCGCCAAAGCTGGCTATATGACCCCCCCTGGCGCCAAAGCTGGCTATATGACCCCCCTCTGGCGCCAAATCTGGCTATGTGACCCCCCCCCTGGCGCCAAAGCTTGCTATATGACACCCCTGGCGCCAAAGCTGGCTATATGAACCCCCCTGGCGCCAAAGCTGGCTATATGACCCCCCCTGGCGCCAAAGCTGGCTATATGACCCCCCCTGGCGCCAAAGCTGGCTATATGACCCCCCTGGCGCCAAAGCTGGCTATGTGACCCCCCCTGGCGTCAAAGCTGGCTATATGACCCCCCTGGCGCCAAAGCTGGCTATATGACCCCCCCCCCCGGCACCAAAGCTGGCTATGTGACCCCCCCCTGGCGCCAAAGCGGGCTATATGACCCCCCTGGCGCCAAAGCTGGCTATGTGACCCCCCCTGGCGCCAAAGCTGGCTATATGACCCCCCCTGGCGCCAAAGCTGGCTATGTGACCCCCTCCTGGCGCCAAAGCTGGAACCGCCCTTGCATGCGTGCGCAGCTCTTCCCGACGAGCATGAAAGTTGGAGCCTAACACGGCGAAGGCTGTACATACATACTATATATATATATATATATATATATATATATATATATATATATATACTAGCTGACCCAGCGAACTTCGTAATTCCATAAAAATAGGGGCTGGTGGTAGAAGGATGAAATTTTGGTTCGTATTTGTGTTTGTTTTGTTTATCCTTCCTCGAAGCCTAAACCACTTCGAAATTTGGTAAGTATGTAGGTTGAAGCTTTGGGTTGCTATAAGCTATTTTATTAATCACTATGTGAAAAGAGGATGATAGCCTCAAATAGGAAAACCACGCGAGCGTAGCCGCGGGTAACAGCTAGTAAATAAATTCGAATACATAAATTTAAAAAAAAGTAGCCTATAGCAGTCTCATAAGTTCAAGCTATACATATACCAAATTTCATCACAATCGGTTCAGCGGTTTAGGCGTGAAGAGAAGACAAACAAACAAACAAACACACTTTCCCATTTATAATATTAGTATGGATATATACTAGCTGACCCAGCGAACTTCGTAATTCCATAAAAATAGGGGCTGGTGGTAGAAGGGTGAAATTTTGGTTCGTATTTGTGTTTATTTTGTTTTATATATATTTTTAATGCCACATTATTAAAAAATAAAATATTGTTCAAACAATAAAAATTAAATGTTAGGGGTGGAAAACCCTTATCACTTAGGGGTATGAAAAATAGATAGTTGCCCATTCTCAGATTTACTGAATATGCATATATCATAAAAATCGGTCAGGCCGTTTCGGAGGAGTATTGTAACTAACATTGTGACACGAGAATTTTATATATAAGATATTGTTGCGTGTGACGCTCGTGACGCTTATAGCGTTGCAGTCTTCGCCGGCTTACGCTCCTTTGATGCTCGTGTATACAGATATCGAACAGTACCCATATTACGAGTTTGCGCTCACGAAAACTATCATAGTTTTCGTAATTGTAAATTATGTTTCTATGTCTATTTTGGTGAAAAATAATCAAATATACTTAAAATTTATGAAAACGCAAATGTTTAATGATAGAATATAAACACTGTTTATTTGTATTGAAACGAAAACAATAAAATCAGTACCCTTAGTACGAGTGCGAGCTCACGAAAACTATCATAGTTTTCGTAATTGTAAATCTCGTACTAAGGGTACAGACTGTACAGTTCGAACGGAACAGTTTATCGTACGTGGCGTACGTATAGGGAACTGTGCAGTTTTATAACATACACGCTACGATTTATCGGTACCGTTCGGACGGTACAGTCTAATCGTAACGATTTCTCGTAGTGTGTATGGCTACCATTAGGCGGGAAAGAGTATTATGCGGGATAGGGGAAAAATACATACTACATATTAATATTTATATTATGTCGATAGACCAGACTACCTGAACTTTTTTGTTTTCGGGGTCGCTGAGTCCAAATATGATGCCAGCATAGCTAAGTTGGTTCGCGTTTTTGCAGAAATCAGCAATAACGCTGAAAATTTAAGTTTTTCGTATAATCAGGGGCGGATCCAGGGGGTCATGGGGCTCATGACCCCCCCCTGGGCTGGGTACAGATGGACCAAACCCAGGGGGATTTTATTTAAACACTTTCAATATTTAATATACCACGACTAAATGACCACCCCCGGGCGCCAAAGCTGGTATTATGACCCCCCTGGCGCCAAAGCTGGCTATATGACCCCCCCTGGTGCCAAAGCTGGCTATATGACCCCCCCTGGCGCCAAAGCTGGCTATATGACCCCCCTGGCGCCAAAGCTGGCTATATGACCCCCCTGGCGCCAAAGCTGGCTATATGACCCCCCCCTGGCGCCAAAGCTGGATCCGCCCTTGCGTATAATATGGTTTATGTTGTTAAAAAAACGCGAACCAACTTCGCTATTCTGGCACCATATTTGGACTCAGCGACCCCGAAAACATAAAGTTGAGGTAGTCTAGTCTTTCGCGCAAGGTACTTTTTTTATGGGCCTGTATAATTTTAGCTATGAGTGTTTGTTTAGTGAAATTTTCAATAAATAAGTGACCCGTACTGACCGATAACAGTCCAGCCTTCTTCATTTCTCCCATTCGTTGATACGCGACGAATTCGTTGACCACTGTCTTTAGGCCAATGAGAGAGCCTACAAACTCACACTCATCCCATGGAACTCCTGGAGAAAAGTTAACAACATAAAAAGATAGAAATAATAAATATTTTTTTGCAACACACACCAATTAGCCTAGCCTAGGGTTGCCAGATGCTGGCTTATACATTCCGGGACATCCCCCCAGAAATAAAACATCACAATTACAAACATCAAAATATACAACAAAGCATGTACAATAGATAATAAGTGAAAAAAAAAGCGTATACATATAATAGAATATTCATTAAAAAGGGGATGGACAATATGTCCAAATTTATATTAGTTAAGTAGACATAAGTGAGCATGCCGCATGTTTGCATGATTAAATATAAAAGGCCGCACTGAGTGCACAAACAAATGTATAACAAAACCTTAAAAAAAAGTCATACTAAATAATGGCATGGGCATACGCTTAGGGAGTAAATTGTATTCATTTATAAAAAAAAAACATCAAAATATAGGTCAGTAACGAATGCCTTTTTGTTTTTTTTTTATTCAAATGATTTATTTCTTTACCATACATCTGGTTACATAAATAACGGTAGCTTCTTTTTTTTGAATGTAAAGACACCTGTACCAATACCAATACCTGTGTTTATATGGCATGCTTCTGATGCCCTTCGCATATAGGTGTGGGTATGGTAATATTGTGAAAAGAACTGGTGTTTGGGGATTCCGGGACAAAAAGGTCTAATTACTGGACACGGGATAAGACGCAAAATTTCCGGGGCAATCCCTTTCCCGCCCATCTAGCAACCCTAGCCTAGCCCCAAAGTCAGCACTGTAGGCTTGTGTTATGAATGCATATACAGGGTGTTACAGAATTCCGAAATAAAATTTGTAGGTATGTATTCCGAAATAAAAATTTGTAGGTATCTGAGCGGGGTGCAGGGGCGCCTGGGGGAGAGAGGGGGGTCTGTTTAGGTAGTAGTAATCGTACGCATTTATAGGGTTGTCATAGGCAGGTGTAAAACGATATTTTTATTAATTTAATTAGAAAATAAAACTGGTCTGAAAGGCGTCAAACTTTCGTAGGTAATTCTATACAAGGAACACAACCAAACCCTAAAGTTTTATTTCGGACTTTTGTCACACCCTGTATACTGATGCATATAAAGTATGTTGATATAGGAATACATATTGAACATCCATGACTGGAGTACAAATGCTCGTATTCATCACACAAACATCTGCTTTTTTGTCATCCATTTTAGTGAAAATTACATCGTCTAAGTAAACAATAACACAGTTGACGGACAAATCGGTGAACATGCATAAAAATACATCGTGCGTGCCTTTGAAGGTTTCCCTCGATTTCCCCGGATTCCACCATCAGATCCTGACTTAGTTCCAATGAGACCACCTCGGAAGTACACTCTTTCAAATAAAAAAATAATTTTGGAAATCGGTCCACAATTGACGGAAAAATCGGTGAACATACATAAAAATATATACTTATACTAGCTGACCCAGCGTACTTCGTATTGCTTACAATAATTTGGAAGAAATGATAAACGACGAACGTCAAATGTTTGACAGGAATATTCACATAGCCATCTGTCGGATCCAATGTAAAACATTCCAAAATCAACAACTACTAATAAATTAAAAAATAATTAAAAAAACATTGTCCAGCGGACAAAATTGTGAATCTAAACCATTCTCAGATCCCCTTGAACACACACAAAAAATTTCATCAAAATCGGTCCAGTCGTTTAAGAGAAGTTCAGTGACATACACACTCACAGAAGAATTATATATATAAAGATATATCATTATGTGTATAATAATAATTATATATCATTATATATTTATACATTCGAACACAGAACCTCCTGCTTTTTTAAGTCGGTTAAAAGGGAAGATACGGCATTCGCGACGCAAATGTGTGTGCATGACCACAATTCGCTTTACTCACAACTTTAAGGGGGTGAAAGAGGGGTGAATTCTACTTACCCATAACCCAGCACAGCGGTATAAATATTTTGCCCAAGATCCACTCCAGATTCAGCCCTGGATGCCCTAGCATCCCACCGCAGTATCCCAACACACCATTCAGGAACGCAATGAAGGATACAAAGGCTATGATATTGGCGATGATGTTCAGGATCAGAGATATCCCGTGGGTTGCTCCGCGGGTAGCCGCGGATAATGTTGAGAGGTCCTCACTTAAAAAAAAACAGCGTGTGTACAGAGTACGCATGTCAGATGTGAAACGAACTTTCTATAATAATAATTGTAAAAATATACAGCGTGTGACAAAAGTCCGACATAAAACTTTGTGTGTTCCTTGTATAGAATTACCTACGAAAGTTTGACGCCTTTCAGACCACTTTTATTTTCTAATTAAATTAATAAAAATATCGTTTTACATCTGCCTATGATAACCCTATAAATGCGTACGATTACTACTACCTAAACAGACGCCCCTCTCTCCCCCAGGCGCCCCTGCGCCCGGCTCAGATACCTACAAATTTTTGGAGTTTACTCCTTAAGAATCGATTTGCATATATAAGGGGCCCGGTATGAGAAAAATGTGAGGAGTAAAATCTATCGATGAATGACCTCGTTACGTTTTTGGTGCGCATCCTGTGTCGCGCAACTTTGACAAACAAAGATGACGGATTGACATTAATAAAATTTTTAAAATCTGAACTGAATTTAGATATTGTTTCTGATACAGCAATGGGGACAACGAGGTATGGTACAACCATTGATGCGGTATTTTCAAGATTCGTGAACCACGTATCTACGAACGTCCATGTGTCTTATTTTAGTTACCAAAACCACTTGTCACTGTAATTAATAATGCAGACAATGTTGATTTAATTAATATTTAAAAAAATGATAATAGTCTGATAATAATAATTACATAATTTATCAACATTCCTAATGATATATTTATGCACATCTGAAATTGACTATTGTAAAAAGTTTAATGTAAAATATTTCGTCGATTACTTATAATAAATGTATATGAAATGAATAAATATGTATTTATATATGTGTATTATTTTCATTAATTTGTTAATTTACCCTTTCATACAGTATCAATCTTTTTTAAGTTAAATAAACTCTTTTTGCGTCTGGTTAGACTATCGAACTTAAGGAGTAATCTCCAGTCGTGCGTCGGAGCTGACACACACAATTTTTTATTTCGGAATACATACCTACAGAATTTATTTCGGAATTCTGTAACACCCTGTATATTAACATAATTAATTTAATAAAACGTTAAAATTTAACAAAAGCAATCTGATATTTCGTTAGAATAGGTACGTACATATACGTACATGCTGTATACTTAAACTTTTTAAGTATGGTGTGTAAGTAATGTCAGTCATCGGATGGGTGACCAAAACTCATTATCTCAAACACCTCCGTGTTTCGGAAGACACGTTAATCCGGTTGTCCCGTGTGCATCTGCAGTCGTTAGCACCCACCAATCCGCACTGGGCCCGCGTGGTGGGTCATGGCCCAATCTCCTTATTCCATCCATAGGGAAAGCCTGTGCCCCAGCAGTGGGGACATTAATAGACTGATGATCATGACAGTAGCTTCTCACCTTTCCGGTGGTTGAATGTTGTCCACGGTGGTGAGAGATCTCTTGGTCTCCGGCAGCAGCAACTTGGAGTAGCATATGGCGGCCGGTGCGGACATCACGCTGGCGGTCACCAGATGAGCTGGGTCGGCGCCGAAACCGATGTACGCCGCGAGAATGGTGCCTGGAGATGACACGTAATATTGTTTTACATATTCTACCAGCCCTAACCTAATGACTAAATTAAACTCGAGTAAACATAGGAGCTCGATGGCGCAGGTGGTTAGCGCGTTCGGCTGTGATCGTTAAAGTTAAGCAACTTTCGCAGTGGTCGGTCATTGGATGGGTGACCAAAAAAAATTACTATCTTGAGCTCCTCCGTGCTTCGGAAGGCGCGTTAAGCCGTTGGTCCCAGCTGCATCTGCAGTCGTTAGCACCCGCCCATCAGCATTGGGCCCGCGTGGTGGGTCATGGCCCAATCTCCCTATTCCATCCATAGGGAAGGCCTGTGCCCCAGCAGTGGGGACATTAATAGGCTAATGATGATGATGAAACAAAAAGGATCAATTTTAAAGATAAAAAAAACATAACAAACTGCCCTGCCGTATAACGAATTTAAAAGACAATACATTTCAGATCATCAGCATAATTGAAAATAATAAAGCGAGATATAGTAAGTCATTTTATATAGATGTGAACAGTATTGGGCCCAAAAGTGAGCCCTGTGGCACACACACGCCTGAAGGTATGTGGTAGTTTCAGGTATAACCATTTCCAGACCCGTCTTTCCCAGTGGGCACTTTGGGCAAGTGCCCAGGGCCCTGCGATCGATAGGGGGGCCCCTCAGATCAAATACAAAGTCCCTAGTTCCTGTTAAATCACCAAACGGAAGTCATAGGGGCCCCATTATCCTAATATGTCCAAGGCCTCCAATAGGTCAAAGACGGCACTTCCCATTTCAAATACAGATGCCAATTTTTGGTACCTTTTTTTTCATACTTTCAAAAAGCTTATTGCAAAATACAGCATGTCGCTCTTTGAACAATGTAGCCATGTTAATATTATCTATAATTATAATCTTATCCTTTCTTTTCTCGGTACAATTGAAAAATAAAATGTTATGTACTCTCTCTATTTGATTATCAGCTATGTAATATCTGTGTTTACCCATATCTCGACCTTGGGCTACATTGCATTAATATTGTTAATCTAAAATTGAATCAATGAAATGCGTATCTACTTAATGAACTCATACATATATATAATGAAGTAACTACTTAGTTTTAGTGTTTTTTTTTACTTATAATTTTACTTTTTAATCATTTGACGACGACCTCCGAGGATTAGTGGTTTGTACGCCGGGTTTCATGATGTCGACGACTTGAGAGGTCCCGGTTTCTAATCCCGGTGGGGGCAGATGTTTGTGTGATGAATACGAGCATTTGTTCTCCAGTCATGGATGTTTAATATGTATTTTCTATAAAAATATACTTTTAAATGTACAGTATATATATTCTATCCGTTGCCCTAGTATCCCATAACACAAGCCTTATAGTCACAGGGGCTAGGCTAATTGGTGTGAGTGTTGGAAATATTTATTTATATTTATTTAACTGCTAGATGTTTGAATCTAAAGAAAAATTTACTAGAAAAATTTCCACGCGAAACAGGCAGCAGCCGGGACTTTAACGCGCACCCTTCGCTATCCGGACGAATGCACTGACCATTATGCTACCGCAGCCCTGATGGCCGTGTCGATTTCTTTCTAGCCGTTCTTAAGCTGCAAGGCAGCGCCATCTCTCACCATTGTAGGTAACCCACAATGTCAAATGAATACCTTAACAAACCTAAACATTTGAAAGAAGAAATAGCAATTATATTCTAAAGAAAAGTTTACTAGAAAAAAAATCCACGCGGACCGGCAGCGGACGGGACTCGAACCCGCATCCTTCGCTATCCGGGCGAATGCACTGACCATTATGCTACCACGGCCCTATTAGCCGCGTCGAAATTTTCCTAGCCTTAAGCTGCAAGGCAGCGCCATCTCTTCGCATTGTAGGTAACCCACAATGTCTAAAGAAAAGTTTCTAGTAAACTTTTCTTTAGATTTAAACATCTAGCAGTTAAATGCTTAAAAAATAAATAAAATCATAGCAATTATATTTACAATTTTTATTGGGGCGATTAGTCCCCCAGCAGTGGGGACATTAATAGGCTGAAGATAATGATTAAGAGACTTACCAGACACCGTAGCAAATCCGGAAGCCATTACTACATGTAGCTCCGACTTGGTCAACAGCTCGAGGTATGGTTTGATGAGCAAAACCGATTCTGACTGGAAGATAAGGAAACAAGCTTTATTTTTGTTAAAATATAGGTGTATAAATAACTACTCTCCACGTCCCGCGCGCCGCGCAACGCCCCCGCGCACCTCCAGACACCCACACATAGCCGCGGGCGATTTTACGAGCACACATGCTTAAGTGTCGCTTCTTTTCGCGTAGTGTATATATTCTGTGCTCAAACTCTACATTGACAGTGGTTACCTGCTCCTACTCCTTTAGACAAAGAGTACTTAGCTTAATTGCTATTAAAAAAAAATGCTTAAAAACAAGGTTCATGGTAGAAATCCTGGACTATATTAAGTGGCAATGTGTACCAAAATCTTAGTAGCTACAGGAGCTAGATGGAGTAGGTGGTTAGCGCTTTCAGCTTGCAGTAGTTAGAAGTTAAGCAACTTCCGCAGTGGTCAATACAAAACTATTCTATGGCTCTTCCCAGGACTCAAGCTCTATATTGACAGTGGTGGCTCAGTGTATGCACGCCGGGCTTCAAAAGGTCCCGGGTTCGAATCCCGCTGTGGGCAGATGTTTGTGTGATGAATACGAGCATTTGTACTCCAGTCATGGATGTTTAATATGTATTCTATCCGTACCTATGTTATGTTTCAAGAATGGTGGGAGTACTTCACAAGGTGCAAGTTACACCCCCCCCCCCCCCCCCTATTAGGTTATAACGTTGTAAAAATAATATTTTTAATTTCACAAACAATCAACTGCTACATGTAAAATATTCTATTATAGGTATTCTTTTGACATTGTGGGTTACATTGCGATGAGATGGCGACACGGCCATCAGAGCATAATGGACAGTGCATCCGCCCGGATAGCGAAGGGTGCGGGTTCGAGTCCCATCACTTGCATGGTCCGCGTGAAATTTTTAAAAGTAAAATTTTCTTTAAGTTTCAAAGATCAGGTATTTAACTTACCATCCCCAAAAACACGTTTCCAATAGCTATAACGCTCTCGCACACAGTGGTATCGGTGGCCGATCTCAACACCTGCCCCAGCTTGAGGCAGAACCACTGCAAAGCACCCCAGAAGAACAAAACTTCTACCAGCATACTGAAGAAGAATATCACTGGCAGGGTCTGTAGAAGAAAATGGAGATTAAATAGAATCAAGAAGAATTTCGTAACATTTCAGGACAGCATATTTCAGCTAGCGATCTCCAGGCCGTTTTGTGTTCTGCAAGGCGGATGGACGCCTGAAAGTTGCCATTCTAGTTTCCTAAATCATGTCCAATCACCGGAAAGGAGATCTTTTTTTTTTATTGACGCAGGCAAAACCTCTGTTTACAGACGACGGCGCCTTTAAGAGGCACACCGCCGAACGGACCTCACACCTTGTTCAGGCACAGTATTTCTTATAATGTGGGTAAACTGCAAATCCACGACTCAACGGTAACGGGCGTTGCTGTCACCGCCGCATTACCTCTCACGGCGGCGCGAGCGCACACAAGAGTTGCTTGACTTTATTTCGGAATATCGATTTTTGGTGGATAATCATTAAAAGTTATAAGTGAACTGCTTAGGTTGTCTCGAATATCAAATATTTGTATTGGTGGAACAGCTGTGTTTGAAATTGGTGCACAATAAGAACTCTGAGTGGGTGACCACGTGGACACGTAACGCTTCCAGTACGAGCTCATGCTGGCGATGTCAAGGTGAGTGGTTTACTTCGTAGTGGGGAATCCTGTGCCTGAATTTTACCAATAGAAGCGATAGGATCAGCGACCAAACCAACTGGTTCTCGTGGACTATCGAAGGTTTTCTCGCGAACACACCTGGCTCTCGCAAGCTTTACGGGCCCCCGCAGTGGCTGCCCACTGAGGACCCCGTAACTCTTGCGGGCGCTTTACGGTATAATATCCGCTAAAAAACCCTGCGAATACCCTCTAAGCTGCTTAGTGCGAAGCCACGGGATCCCCGTTTAGGGATTCTTCCGCGTTTCTGCACCTAGCAGCCTCCCGGACTAGCCGGGGCTCCATGGCAGGGGTCTCCCGGGGTATCGCGGGGACCCCGCAGACGTGCGCGGGTAGGCCCGCGCTGGGAGTTAAGTGTGCGGCCTAGTGCCCACCACACCGTTCCGTCCGCTGCGGGGGCTGCCTGGGCGTGCCCATCGCAGGTCCTCCCACCGCCCCCTCTCGTGGGACAGAACTACAAAAGGGGGGCCGGAATTGAGACCCGCTCCTACTTCTTTAGACATGGAATGTATAATTAGCTTAATTGCTACTAAAAATGCTTAAAAACAAGGTACATGGTAGAAATCCTGGACTATATTAAGTGGCAATTTGTCCCAAAATCTTAGTAGCTACAGGAGCTCGATGGCGTAGGTGGTAAGCGCTTTCAGCCTGCAGTAGTTAGAAGTTAAGCAACTTCCGCATTGCTCAATAACCATTCAATCGAGCGAGCGAAACAGAACTACGCTTCAACGCAGCGCGAGCGAAACGGCGAGTCCGCGTCCGAGTCCGCACGGCTGAGCTGTATTGTCGTCCTTTTCTTGATAACAAAATGGCGATTCCGTAAATGACATTCACGACAAACCGTGATTTTTGATAAAAATGATTTTCCAGTTTTACGAATGAAAAGTGTTGCCGAGGCATTTGTTCTTTATGAAAGCACCGAAGGCATTGTTTTATCTTCATAACACAGAATATACACAATATTGTTATATTGAGTGCACATGCAGAGTGATTGAATGTCCAATTGTGACTAAAGCGAATTGTGGTCATGCACCACAATTTAAGCGGATCACTTTTGAGCCGCGAGTGCCGTGTCTTCCCATTTTGTTTTAATCTAAGGCGATAGTAGATTTTTAAATACATAGATATTAATTTAAAAACTTACACTAAACGCGAACACGCCTTCCTGTCGCACCAGCAAGTCACCAAACGCGAAAGCTGCTCCATCAACGCCGTACATTAGAAATGTCGCCACCTGCATTAATCAAAAATAATTATATGATTAATATATCTAACAGTCACTCCACAGAACACTGAATGAGGTTAGAAGGGCCTTGTAGGCGGGGCAGGCGCGCCACAGTTATCTGTGAGCAAATGCTCATAAGTGTCGCACACGGGCCACCGACCACAACCACAAAACGCCGCCACCGGCATAATTCTTGTAGTTTTCATACATTTTATATGGACTCGCCACACACGGTACGCCGGTGGCCGCCACACGCTACAAACCGTCGATGCTCGCTTCTTGTGGCCCGCACCGGCCACTTAATGCGCCGATACAAAACTCCGCCACACGTTATTCGCGCGATTCGTCACCCCTCTCTCCCTTGCCTTAGTCGGCCGCTGTCGCGCGCTTCAGCCACTTTAGTAGCCGCTTCTAGCTTCTCGTGGCGGCATTTGATGCTGAGGCGTGTGGCCCGTGTGCGGTGACAATTACACATGCTTTTTAAACGAAAACCTTATGTCAACCCTATTTAATGTAAGGAGTATTCTATTATATTCTATTCTAATCGTTGTGTGTCAGAAATATTCTTATAGATTAATTATTTTACTTATTCATAATCTCACCTTATCAGAGAAGCACTGTAAAGCCACTCTGCCAGGAGTCCATCTGATGAATAGAACTCCAAAAGCGAACTGCAGAAGCAACCCCATACCCACGCTGCGCCAATTGATTCGACCAGGGTGTGCAGAGAATACGAATCCTGGCGAAGTCATCATTTATTTATTTAATTAATTGCACATGTACAGTATATATAGGATCTTAAAATTATTTTAGCATGGCACATGACCCTGTCAGGGTGTTGCAAGTACAATAACTATATCACTACAACTACTAAACAGTTTCAGTTTCAAACAAGTTAGTGAGCTTTCCGTGACGGTTTCACTTATCAGTCATAAATTCATTTACCGAATAGTATGCTTTCTTGATAAGATGTTTGAGTTTCATTTTAAATGTATTTATGTTGCTTTCTCTTTTAATTTCTTTCATTCGATATCAGCGGACAATTTACAATTTCCTGATGATAATTAATACCTTTGCCCCAATAATTGTCAAATAAGAGGCTCTCAATTTACTGGTAATGAAAACCTTGGCCCTAGAGGTGTCAATTCATCATCGTGGAATAGGGAGTTTTTGGGCCATGACCTAAAACGCGCGGGCCCAGTGCGGTTTGGTGGATGCAACGACTGCAGGTGCAGCCGGGACCAACGGCTTAACGTGCCTTCCGAAGCACGGAGTAGCTCGACATAGTAAATTTTTGGTCACCCATCCAATGACCAACCACTGCGAAAGTTGCTTTACTTCAACGATCGCAGCCGAACGCGCTAACCACTTGCGCCATCGAGCTCCTCAATTGTCAATTTACTGGCGATAAAAACCTTTCCCCTGAGAGTTAATAAGCTGGCAATTTACTGGAAATAAAATAAATATTTAGCAGTGTCCAGGTATCTTGACGCCCGCATTATATCATAATACCTACTCTAAGTATTTACTTCATAGACAGGTTAAGGCCTTTGTCTTCATAAGCATATTAAATAACCACTATTACCCCACCTGATGTTAAGTGGTGATAAAGTCCAGACGCGAAGATAACTGGTACAGCAGTTATAAACTGTCACATCAACCGTCCTCACCTTGCCGGCCTGCAAAAATGCTTCTTCACTCGTCTCTTAAAGGACCCCGATTGTAGGAAGGGGAGAACACGTTCGTGCGCGGGCAAAGAATTCCACTTGCGAATAGTACGACAAAGAAATCATCATCAGCCTATTAACGTCCCCACTGCTGGGGCACAGGCCTTCCCTATGGATGGAATAGGGAGATTGGGTCATGACCCACCACGCGGGCTCAGTTCGGATTGGCGGGTGCTAACGACTGCAGATTCAGCCGGGGTCAACGCCTTAACGTGCCTTCCGAAGCACGGAGGAAGTCGAGATAGAAGATTTTTGGTCACCCATCCAATGACCGACCACTGCGAAAGTTGATTAACATCAACGATCGCTGCCGAACGCGCTAATCACCCGCGCCATCGAGCTCCTCGACGTCATCATCATCCAGCGACAAAGAAATGAGTCACCAAATTTCTTAGTTCGTATAGGAATAGTGGCCACAGTTAGTTACAACGTAGGCCAGCGCGCTAGAGCAAAGGCTAAAATCGTCAGTAAAGCCAGAAACATATTGTCGTGTCGTCGTTTATCACCAGTTAAAGTATTTAAGTACTCTGTCAAGTTACGTCCCTTCTGATTAACTTACCCAGCATGATGAGCAGACATAGCCCGAGCAGCGATATGAGCCGCTCAGGTGAATGCTGCGTGTCGAAGTAAAGGAACACAGCGATCGCCGCCAGAACCGCTAGTACGGAACCCCAACGGACCCACCTGGTTGAAAAGATTTCATTTAAAGAAAAGTTTACTAGAAAAAAATCCACGCGGACCAGGCAACGGACGGGACTCGAACCCGCACCCTTCGCAATCCGGGCGAATGCACTGACCATTATGCTAGCACGGCCCTATTAGCCGCGTCGAAATTTTCCTAGCCTTAAGTTGCAAGGCAGCGCCATCTCTTCGCATTGTAGGTAACCCACAGTTCGTCTTCGCATTGTAGGTAGCATAATGGTCAGTCCATTCGCCCGGATTGCGAAGGGTGCGGGTTCGAGTCCCGTCCGCTGCCTGGCCCGCGTGGATTTTTTTCTAGTAAACTTTTCTTTAGATTTAAACATCAAGCAGTTAAATGCTTAAAATAAAATAAAAACATAGATTTCATTTAAATTCATATATTAAACCTAATTAATATAATCTACCTTATGGTAGACTATCATGGAGTATTTTACACGTATTTTCACTTCATTGGACGACCTCCGTGGCCGAGTGGTTTGAACGCCGGATTTCATGGTGCACCGACTCGAGGGGTCCCGGGTTCGTATCCCGGTGGGGGCAGATGTTTGTGTGATGAATACGAGCATTTGTACTCCAGTCATGGATGTTTAATATGTATTTCTATATAAATATACTTATATATGTACTGTATAATATGTATTCTATCCGTTACCCTAGTATCCCATAACACAAGCCTTATAGTGCTTATAGCTATTAACGAGATATTGATATAGAGACTCATAAAAAACAAGGTACATGGTAACAATCCCGTTAATAGCTATAATGTTAGTGACCATGAAAGTTTAAGACAATTTATAGTGCTTAGTTTGGGGCTAGGCTAATTGGTGTGAGTGTTGGAAATATTTATTTATTCAAACCTTTGATTATTTAAGATTCACACAATCAAAAGTTACAGAGATTACCTGTATTGATTTGAAATGTGGCATGAAGTCACGTCTTTTTTTTTACTTAAAATTGACGTCGCGAGCCCCCGCTACCAAACTTTGAAGAGCTATTGGGGTGTATTCCGAAATACACATCAGTATACTGGCCAGTGGTAATGACGTCACGAATCCGATGCCATATTGTACTGGTATGCTAACATATTATTTTTACCGGGAAAATGAATGACGTATGACCGAGCGTGCGTGAGATACATTCGAAGTTTATTTCTTTTTGAAGTGAAACTTCTTTATCGGCGTTGGAAAAAAATTTACCGTCACATTTTTCGGTTACGCGTCACATTTTTCCGTTACGCGCCATCTTTTTTTATATTAATAGTTGATAGCTGAATGATCACACTGTTGCCGGCGAGAACTCTCTCTACTCGTTTGTAGCTGAGTGACAATAGTTATTAAAGATAAGACTGGCTCAGCCAAACTCGCATAGCGATACTCGCTCAGCGGTACTCGCTCAGCGATACTCGCTCAGCGATACTCGCTCAGCGGTACTCGCTCAGCGATACTCGCTCAGCGATACTCGCTCAGCGAATCTCGCTCAGCGAATCTCGCTCAGCGATACTCGCTCAGCGATACTCGCCCAGCGATACTCGCTCAGCGATACTAGCTCAGCGATACTCGCTCAGCTTTACTCGCTTGGTTAAGCTGGCTTGGCTGTCAAAAGCCGTGCGCGTGCATTTTAACTCAGGACTGCCAATTCGTTTCTAGTTTCTACTCGCTTATCGTTCATCGTCGGAGGTGGAACATGTGCCTTAGATTACTGAGCCGTGTAATCATAACAGTTTCATAGGCAGTAATTTGTATTCATGTCTATGATAATAAAATCCTTTTGTTTAAACTTTATCTAATTTAGCTTTATTTAACCAATTTCTGGAAAGTTGCATGTAGATCATTTTTCGAAAAATAAGGCCATAAAGAAGTTTCACTTCTTACGTGTGTACACTAGTACACGCACACATTTTTTATTTAAAGAACAATAATGGCATCCGAACAAAAAGAATACCCGGGCTAACAACAAAATGTAATGGAGAAGTACCTATACGCAAAGCAAACCCTAACCACAGCCGAATATTGAAGCTGTCATATTTCAAACGATGTTTTTTTGTTTGTGAAAAATATTAAATAAGTGGTGAAAATGTATTCAACATGGTCTGTAATACAGCTGAAAACAGAGTTGAAAAGGAGAAGCAAGGCAGAAAAGCTAATCTAGTAGAAAGGTACTCTTTCTTTTATTATGCTAGAATGCTCATTCTCGGTACATAGATGCATTTTCCATGACTATTTTAATACTTCATGGATCTCAGTAACTTTTAGCAGGCTCATTAGTCAAATCTATCTCATTTTTGCATCAGTCAGACATCTCATAGAGTTAGGTTACCCCTGGCTAAAATGGGAAGCAGAATATTGGGGGTTTTTACAGACTTGAGGCATATGATCGAAATTTTAATTTTGGTGCAGTTTTTTCTGATCAAAATGAAGAGATGCAATTATATACCATGATGTAAATATCAGCTCAGTTTTACAGTGGCCAAATTTTGCAGATTTCTTGTCCATTGCGGCATAACAAAAATGTGTTTTTTTTTAGTTTTAAAAATTAATATTATATTGAGCAACAAGTTTTATACAGTTTTGAAGATGATTTCTTCTACTTCGTGTATTTTAAACAATATTATTATTCCTCAACTTACCATATATCTTTGCTACAGACAAATGAAACTTACAGTTAGTGTCGCCGCACACGGGCCACCGATGACAACCACAAAACGCCGCCACCTGCATATTTCTTGTAGTTTTCATACATTTTATATGGACTCGCCACACACGGTACGCCGGTGGCCGCCACACGCTTTCAAATCGTCGTTGTTCGCTTCTTGTGGCCCGCACCGGCCACTTAATGCGCCGATACAAAACGCCGCCACACGTCACTCGCGCGATTCCCCACCCCTCTCTCCCTTACCTTAGTCGGCCGCTGTCGCGCACTTCAGCCACTTTAGTAGCCGCTTCTAGCTTCTCGTGGCGGCGTTTGTGGCTGTGGCGTGTGGCCCGTGTGCGGCAACACTTAGTGGGCCGAAAGATGTGTCTGGAAGAGTAATGAATGCAAGTCTCACATAATATTGCAGAGGCATCCGGCGGCCCCAGCTACCCTGCTCCACACTGTGCGTTCGAACCATTTCCCGAAGTATCTTTTGACCACCATAAAGTATATGACGAAAAAGTATACGATGGCCAAGAACGCTATCAAACTGCCGAATCCGTTGCATATCTCTAATGGGGTTTGCGCTGAAAAAAAAAATAGAGTTACTATATAATACATAACTGGATACAGGCAATTGTCAGTTGTCTCAACTGCCTGCCTACATTATATCTACAGGGTGTTACAAAATACAAATAAAGCTTAAAAGGGCGTTGAAGTTCATCATATAAGGAGTCTTCTCTAATTTTCTTAAAATATTTGCATAAAGTTTTAACTTTTTATAAAAACAGTTATATTTAATGATTAATAAAAATGTCAATCATTTTAAGACACGTCACTAGTTCGAGGAACATTAAAAACACTCCTTATATGATGTACTCCAACGCCCTTCAAGCTTTATTTGTATATTTGTAGCACCCTGTATATCGAAGGGGCACTCGGGCGTTCGTTTAGTGATGGGTCGTCGTCCACTACAAATCCTTTAAATAATACCTACTCGGATTGCACTGTCTAGGTTTAATAAAGTCGAACAAATAATCAGCTCAAAATGAGCTATGATTGCTCAGATGCAAGCGGATTAAATCGGAAGTTATGAAGTCGATAAGGGGTTTGAATAAAGATGTAAAACAACCGATTTAAAACGTTTTAATTCAAATGTTGCCGTTTTAAACCCCAGATAAATCGTTTTAAACGGTTGAAAACTGGCATACAAAAATAAAAGAACTATGTTTTTTACACTTCATTATGGTAGTTTTTTTTGACGTGACAACGTCTTAAATTAGGTTGCGGCTGGGAGTCACTTATGAAAAAGTGTAACGCTCGGTAACGTTACGATGAGTCTCTCGTGTTAAGTTTAAGTTTACATGTACAATGTTTTAGTAAACAAAATATATTTCTATAGTTAAAATTTGTGCAATTCTTATTTTCATTCAATTCCTTGTTCCTATTGTGCAATTTAATTATATTCATATCAATAAATATTCTACCGAGAAAAAGACGTTGTCACGTAAAATCTTCGCCCGTAAAACCGACTTTACAGGCAACCATTTTTTTTAATTTTGTACTAGTTCTTTATTTACAGTCATCTTAAATAACAAACCCCTATGATAAAGATACAAAAACTACATGCGAACGTACCTACAATCAGGGGGTCACTTTTAAAAGCACGTTTTGACTTAAACAACAAGATACATAGAGATGTTAACTGTTAAAATGGGCTTGTGACCTGACTGTACATGATGTAGTTATTGTCAGCAGACTCCATCCATGCCCCAACCTACCCCCTGTTGTATTCGCGCCTGAGAAGTGGCGCGCGCGGCGCGGGCGGCCGGCAGTTTATGTATGTGCATGTGTGCGTAAGGTAGGCGAGCTGGACACGTTTGCGTCGAGTAACGACGAGTGACGTCAACGAGAGTGCGAGAGAGTGAGTTTGGTTTTAAACCGAATCAAATTGATTGAATTGATTTATATCGTTTGAAAACATTTTTTTTTATTTACTAACACAGAGTTTTTAACTTAAGATAAGAGTTTTTATAACTTTGGTAGGTAATACCTATGCTTGGTCGCGGATGGACCAACTAGAACTAAACTCGCTAGGTATATCAATATCAGTAAGTATATCACACATTTAAAAAAAACTTTATACAGTTTATAGGTACTCCGTTATATTCCTACCTCGGTAAAATCAAAACAATGTAGTTATAATTAAGAAAAACATAGACATCAACACCAACCGTTTTAAATCGAAAAAAATGGTTTATTTATATTAATGGTTTTAAACGGTTTTTTCGTTTTAAACGGATTGGTTTAATTGGTTTTAAACCGGCCTTACATCTATAGGTTTGAACACGACCAAACAACGTTTTAATGTGTACATGTGTGTACACAAACAAGTGAAACGTCAGTCTTCTGTGAGTGTTCCAGTGTTGCCACCTTGGATTTTTTTAAGGCGCCAAGTCAAAGGTAAATAATCGTCAGATTTCAAAATTTTGGATTTAATAAAATACACCAAAATCCGCTAAATTACAATTACATCTCTGATAACAAAAAACCCTAATTTAAATAAAAAAACAGTGAATATGTATGAGATGCTACAGAAATAACTGTGAGTAACCACATAGAACATTATAAAATTTCGGAAAGTTAGGGCATTTCCCATTTAAAAATATGTTGCTAGATTTCATGTTACAAAACCACTAAAAAAATTAACCCGCTAGATGATGAAAATATACCACTAGAAGTCGTGAAAAAGCACCAGTTCTGGTGGAAAATCCACCAAGGTGGCAACACTGGAGTGTTCACAATGGCAGATGTCAAAAGTCAGATGACGTAGATTAGTAGCTAGTGTTGCCAACCCATTCGCCAAATACACCCAAGTCGGTTACGTCGTGACGTTCCGTTCAACAATCCACGACATATATATAATACTAATAGATTAAGGATTATGTTTTTATTTAATTTTAAGCATCTAACTGCTAGATGTTTAAATCTAAAGAAAAGTTTACTAGAAAAAAAATCCACGAATTCGCTGCCTGGTCCGCGTGGAATTTTTTTTCTAGTAAACCTTTCTTTAGATTTAGATTAAGGATTTCAGACAGAACGATTTGTTTTGGAGGCTAGGCTTAAAAAAAATAGATTTTTCTGTCACAACCTAGGGAGGTAGCTAGCAAGACAGCTAGGTGGCTGTGGACTTGGTTTAAAGATTTGTATAATAGTTTGCCGGAATAAGGAGATTGTACAAAGACCCGTCACTCGGGCTCAGTCAAGGGCGGATCCAGGGGGGGGGGGTCATGGGGGGCATGACCCCCCCTGGGCTGGGTATAGATGGACCAAACCCAGGGGGATTTTATTTAAGTACTTTCAATATTTAATATACCACGACTATATGACCCCCCCCCCTGGCGCCAAAGCTGGATCCGCCCTTGGGCTCAGTACGGATATAGTAGTAAAAAAATAAGTAAAGCTTTACTGACATTAAACTAACCACAGGGAATTTTTAATAGTGGCTTATGAATGAGATGTAAGTACCTTGTTTAACTAATTATTAAGTCTGATTCACGCACTACATACAAAACGAATGAATTAAAAACATGATAAGTATATCAGGAATTTCATATTTGTACACTTTATCTATACTTCTATACTAATATGATAAGAGGAGAGAGTTGTATTTTTTCTGTTAGTAACAAATAAACTCAATACTACTGGGCCCATTTCAAAAATTCATTCATTTACCTTGCGATCAGGTTATCTAGGTCGCAACTTTCGCAACGGAGTGACCGTTCGGATGGGTGACCAAAAACGTATTATCTCGAGTTCCTTCGTGCTTCGGAAGGCACGTTAAGCCATTGGTTCTGGCCGCATCTGCAGTCGTTAGCATTCAATAATCCGCACTGAGCCGCGTGGTGGGTCACGGCCCAATCTCCCTATTCCATCCAGAGGGAAGGCCTGTGCCCCAGCACTGGGGACATTAAAACCTATTCTAGACGGATGTAATCCATCCGCGTTATGATTTTCGGGCTCTAAATTTGTCTAAATTACAAGGTGTGGGCTTTGCCTTAACAGTTTTGTGTGCAATAGACGACGAAAAACAACAAATAAGAGAGTGATCCAAGGACGTTGAAGGTCAAATCAATATTTGGATTACATCTTTCGTCTAGATCAGAGTTCCCCAAACCTTTTTGTGTCGTAGACCCCTTGCCATGTTTTTCCGTGTTGGGTAGACCCCCTACTTACCTGATATTGATTTTTTTTCGCTGACGTAGACCCCTTGCAGGTTGTCATAGACCCCTAGGGGTCGATATAGACCACTTGGGGAATCACTGGTCTAGATGGATGGCAACGGGCAAGGTCACCTTGGTTGGTACGCAGGATTAAATCCGTCTGGCATAGGTCTTAATAGGCTGCCGTGATGATGAAAAAGTTTCACTTTAAAAATACTCACTGAAATAAGCCCAGTAGTACCAACATCCGATGAAGTAGCCGACCACAAGGCCGTTAAATATGAAGGCGGAGACGGTCTTCATAGCAGATGCGTTGTTCTTGAAGAACTGCTCGGTGGAGCTACCCACCCTGGTGAGGGAGACCTCGAGCCACCCAGAAGGCTCGTATTCTAGGCTGTCGTGAATTACCTAGATGTGAAAGAAGGTTTTGAAGTATTAACAAAAGCGGTTACCCATATGATAGTGGGGTAAAAATTAGTTTTATTGTTCACTTTTCAACAGATTTCAAAAAGAAGAAGCTTTTAATCGCAATTCGTATGTAATGTTTTTGGAAGTAACAGACCCGACCTAGGGCGATCGGCGCGGTGTAAAATTGCTACCACTTTAGCTAGGGGCCACGCCCACTCTTCCGATCGGGCCCTTAAAATTGGGTAGTGTAAAGCCTGTTTTTTCCCTAGATCCCTGAACACAATAAGGTATTTGACAAATTTTAGAAATCGATCTCACGTTATTGACTAATGTTTATCGAGTCCGTCTATTATCATTCTGTTGTGTATTTCAGTAAAAATAACCAAATCAAAAACTCCATTTTCAAGTTGCCGCGATCTGGACAATATGACGTCTTACTAGTGTGTGACGTCACACGACTGTTATTAAAACGTCAAACGATACAATGTAATGTCACTTTAACCGGAAATTTACTTGCGTGTGACGTCATTTTAGGCTCCGCCAATCCCAATCGTTTTGGGTCACGTGACAATAGATAAGAAAACTATTATCTTTTTCGTGGGTTTTTAGTAAAATTATGAATATTTCGTTTGTACAAATAGTAAAAACCCCTACTACCAATATTCATTCTAAACACAGATGCTAACAATTGGCACTTTATTTTTAATACTGTCAAATAAATGAATGAATGAATGAATGAATGAATATATTCTTTATTGCACTATTACACACAATACAGAGAACATAAAACACAGAAACAAAAACACAAAAGGCGGCCTTATTGCTAAGGTAGCAATCTCTACCAGGCAACCTTTGGCTAAATGAAACCATACCATAAGAATAGTGGAAACAGCGGGCTAGTGCATTGTAAAAATAAATAAATAAACATAAATATAATAATATACAATATAGTAAGTATGTAAGGAAGCTATAAAATACAATAAATAGTAACAAACAGATAAAAAGATCAGGCAGAGTCCAGCTTGAGGAAATATTCCTTAATATTAATAGTAAAGGAGTCCCTCGTCTGTGCACGTTTAATATCCAAAGGCTAAGCGTTCCACAGTTTAACAGCTCTTACATAAAATGACTTGGCCACGAAATCAGTGGAGTGGGGTGAGATAACTAAGGACTAAATACCCTAAAAGAGAAATAGTTTTTAAAAATATATGAATACTAACCTTTCCGTTTGTTATGCCATTCCTTTTCACTTCCGTGTCGTTCATTTCGACATTATCCCTTTCGGAAGCATCCTGTAAAGAAGAAAATTTTTAGAATTTAGAATAAATATTACTAGAATATATTCCACGCGGACCAGGCAGCAGACGGGACTTGAACCCGCACCCTTCGCTATCCGGGCGAATGCACTGACCATTAGGCATTGTCCTAATACAACGCGTTTAAACGATGCGGCCATCGCGTGATCGCGAACTGGGTGTCCTAATAGAACGCGAATACGGAACGGGTTAGCCCTGCCCCTCTCCCCGGTTCCTATCGACGCAACTCGATCATCGCTTCGTACTAACTTCATTTATGACACCTATTCATCATTAATAGGTTTGATTGCGCGTTCGCGCGAACTAACGAGCCGTTACCGCCAAATTATCGTAAGCGACACTTTTGTCGAAATGCGTTTTTTGTGGAAACTAATATTTTAAACCGTAACGGACCCATCTGGCATTGTCCTAATACAACGCGAGCGATGCGATCATCGTACGAGTCGACGATCAAACATATTGATCTAGAATAGGTGTCCTAATAGCCGATCGCGCGATGCATTCGCGCGACTAAAATGTTTAAAAATCTATTATTTATTATCTAAACGCGCAATCAAGCCTAATAATGATGAATAGGTGTCCTAACTAAAGTTCGCGCGATGATCGCGTCGCGTCGATAGGAAGCGGGGAGAGGGGCAGGGCTAACCCGACCAAAACTGTGTGTCAATCGTGATCGCGTATTCGCGTAAATCGTGATCGCGTATTCGCGTTCTATTAGGACACCCAGTTCGCGATCACGCGATGGTCGCATCGTTTAAACGCGCGATGATCGCGTTATCGCGTTGTATTAGGACAATGCCTCTCTGTTGATATTTCCCTCCAACCTTCCTTCCGTTATATTATAACGGTGTTCTTTTGCAGGGAAATATCACCAGAGATGGGTCCGTTACGGTTTAAAATATTAGTTTCCACAAAAAACGCATTTCATATAAGGGGTCATCCATAAACTACGTCACACGAATTTCATGATTTTTTGCCCCTCCCCCCGTCCTTGTCACAGCTGGTCACATTTATGAGACTCCCCCCCTCCCTAGTGTCACGTCACATATTTTACAAAATTTAGAAATTATTGAATGTAAACAGCGGATCTGAAATTAGTTTTATTTTCATTCAAATTTGTTTTTTAATAATATTAACATCAAATCCAACAATTTACCAAAACAAATATGAATAGCATTATGATTACATTAAAGATACAAACTTAATTATCTTGAGTCCATAGACATTGAGCCCGCTTCTTTAAATTATTTATAACAGGCATAGCACCACTTTGTTCTCGTTTGGGTTGTTTATGTTTTCGTAAAGTTATAGTTTCAACATTTCGATTATAATAGATTTTTAAATGTGACGTCACGAAATTTAGGACCCCTCCCAGCTCCTTGTCACACGATGTCACACTTCATCGACCCCCTCCCTCCCCCTTAACGTGTGACGTAATTAATGGATGGCCCCTAATAGTAAAAAAAGAAATAAAACCTACTACAAAAGGAATATAAGAAATTTGAACATTATGTTCTAAAATCAAATCAAATAGCGCGCGCTTTCGCGACTTCCTGTTACGCACTTCCGTTCCATTTCACGAAATCACTCCCACAAATTGCAGAAAAGCAAGAGAAAAGATGTTACACATCCAAAAAACGCATTGAAACACAAAACACGCACTCACTACAATACTGGACTTTATAGAATAGAACCGTCTTGTCGGTACAACAATACCTTTGCTTATAAGCATTTCCTTGCTCTTATTTACAACAGATTTTATAAACAACCAATTGATTTAAAAAGCAGCCATGTGCGAGTCGCATTCGCGTACGTAGAGTTCCGTACCATTAGACACTAAGGGTGAAGCCAAACGAGGGTAATTTTGTGAGTTGTGAGTCGCTTATTTTCGGTCACTTATTTTACGTTCAACTGAATTTCTGATGAGCTGCCATACGAACGTAATTTATTCAGTTACTATTGAGCGTTAGTACGGGGTGTTCGTGTCGTCGAGTGCAATGGATCCATTAAAAATATTGTGTATTTACGAAGCATATTCAGAAGATGAGGGCAGAAAAAGAAACTGAGTAAACCCACTGAATAGTCAGAGGCTTATGTGGACAGTTCCATACTTTATATGAACGTTTATGTGCAAATCCAGATATGTTTAAAAAGTACTATCATATGCTATTACGTGTTTTTCAAGAATTATTACACCACGCAACTTGTAACAAACTGTTGCTTCCCCACTCCCCTTCCTTGCCCTACCCTCACCCCGACCGAAATTCGGACGAGCTTATGCGCATTGAGTCGGCAGACAACTCATTTTGCGTTGTCGTGTGGCACCAACTGCCTTTTTGTATGAAACCGAATGCAGCAGAATTTCTGCGACCGAAATTCTGCGACTCACCACTCACAAAATTACGCTCGTTTGGCCTCACCCTAAATAAAAAAAATAAAAATAATTATTGATAAACGAAGATTAAGCTTGGACGCATCATTGAATAACAAATGTCACTTGAGCGATATTAACAAAACATGGTGTAACTAGTCTATAATGCGATTCAAATAAGAATAGGAAAGCCAATGACCTCCATCTGTCAAATGTCGCTTGAAAAGTACGGTTTACAAAAAAAACTCGGAACACTTTTTTAGCACTCAGCTGATTCTAGAATAAAAACGAAACATTTCTAAACAAACAATAAAAAATGTTGATAATTGATATTAGTTATTTTTTTTCATATATTGAGCTTTGGCTATGAATGCTTGATAACCTAAATCGTCAACCAAATGTCACTATGTTGCGTTCAAAAACTCGATTTAAAACTTTGGTTTACATATAGGATGCATGTTCGTATGTGACCTGTATGATTATTCATAACTTCTCCGACGACGGTAATGCAGAGATGAGCAAAATTGAAGAGCTATATTGTGATTAATATTTTTTTTCACACAGTCTTACTGTATAAAGAAATTCTATTAAAAATCGGTTGTGTTCTTTCTCAACCTTAGTAAATTAATTTTATTAAAAAATCTGATGTTTTGTCTCACATAATCTTAGTAAATAAGTTTTATTAAATAGCAACATTTGTTTGCTCACTCTACCTATTTGGTTTGAATTGACAGCTATGACGTCAAAATATGGCGCCCAGTCGGTCCTATTCTTAGTTGAATCGCATTGTAAGCGTATTCCTCGTTTATTAATAGGAGGATAGGCTGATAATATCGAGCAAAATACGGCAAAAATCCCCCGAAACATTTGTTTTAATTTATTATATATTGTTTTCAACTTTCATGGTCACTAACAATATAACTATTTAACGGGATTTTTGCGATGTACCTTGTTTTTTATATAATATTATAGTGAATATTTAAAAAACGCGGAAAAAATAAATTCCAGTTTTTGTCAAACGATTCACAATTATAAGCAGGCACTACATGTCATAAAAATTTGGAGTCTTCCGGAGATTGACTACCGCAGACACATAAAAATGGATGCGTGTAACTTATGTACGCGCGTGAGAAGTTAGACACTAAAATTCATAACGCGCCCGCGGCCAACTTCATGGTGTTACTATTGTGTTACAGTGATGCGCGCGCATCTCGAAATTTCACTCACATGATTTTTTCATAACGCGCCCGCGGCCAACTTCATGCTGTTACTTTTGGGTTACAGTGATGCGCGCGCATCTAAAAATTTCACTCTCATCATTTTTTCATAACGCGCCTAAAGAAGTATAACTTCAAAAAAATTACAATTGTGACACCCGTTTGGGTGTTACTAAATACATCGATTTCACTTCATAAAATTAGAAGATGGCTGTAGTAATTTATTTTTAATTTTTTTTAGCAGCGTGGGGCGGCCCCCTAAAAAGGTGGACTGACGACATCGTCAAATGTGCTGAGAGCCGCTGGATGCGGATAGCGCAGGACCGCGCATTGTGGCGTTCTATGGAGGAGGCCTATGTCCAGCAGTGGACGGGGAAAGGCTGATGGATGGATGGATGGTAGTAATTTAATTTGAAAAATGGTTTTTTAGTCTATGCTTTTTAAACACTCTAAACGCTGTCCACCATCATTGTGACGTCAACAAATTAGAAAATTTGTCAGTAAACAACTAAAAATCATTGTCGTGTTACTGTGGTGTCTTTCGTCTGACTAAAATATGTATATCTAAATACTCTTACATCTTGTAGAAAAAATTCCGTTTTATTTATTAGTTTTGTTGACTAAATTAATGCTGGACGCCGGATTTGTGAAAGCAGAAACGTCAAAACTCACTTGACTTAGTAGATAACATTAAAATTAGTATTTTAAACTTTAAATATTATATATAAGATGTTTTAAACAGCATGGCGGTAAGTAAAAACTCTTAGAATATTGTCAGTTCTATGAAAATTTTAACTACCTACTTATATGTATTTGCTTCAAACTTTGACCAAACAGGTACTTATAGTAATTGTTACATCGCTCGTAGCGATGTCGTAAATTCTTATCGCTTTACATATTTTATTATGAACGTATCACTTGATAATAGAGTGTATAGTTCTGTCATTTTTACTGCACGATGAAATGTTTTATCACCAATGACACACCCTCTCGCTTCTCAGCATTTAATTAAAGAAAACAGACAAAAAAGTAAGAAGTAGAAGGTACGAAGAGAAGAAGCAGAAATAATATGAAAGAAGGGAAAAGAAATATTTTTTATTGCCTTCGAAGGCAGACGAGCAAGGCTACCTGATGTTAAATTGTCATCCTCGCCCAGCAACACAGTCACAGACACAGTCAACCCGCTGCATTTCGTGGAACGCTCTCTTTAAGCCTCGTTTTAAGAGAATCATGCTACAGAACAATTTAAGTGGGTCGATTCTGGCATGCTTCTCTAAACTTAAACTTGACATGAGTGCATCCTTGTCATTAATAATCAATAATAATCAAAATCATTTATTCAGTTTAGGGTGTTACAAGCACATATGAATGTCTAGAAGCTACGCCAT